TATATTTTATTTATTTATTAATATCTCTGAAACTATCAAATCTATTTACTCATATCTTAGGATTATGTAAAGAATGATCTGAAGGAAACCAAAAATGGAATAATATACAGGGTGTTCCAACTTAAAAATCATCCCGATCCACTCCCTATTTGAGCCACTATAAGTTAAAATATTTTCCTGAAATACATCCAAGAACATAGTTTAGGTTTGCACTTAAACAAAATTCTCATCTTTTTTATTCTAGGAGCTACAGATGCCCGACGCACTATTGCCGGACCCTGTACACCCTCCACTATCCACGGTTGAGGTTTAACCACGGCACATAAAACAATCGGCACGCCAACTCTACTCAGATTCCATTGTTTAAAATTTCTATAAAATATGACCTTGTCGGCGCCATTATGGTTTCCTAGTCAGGGCCGGATTAAAACGTATTAAAAAATTTCTTAGAAAATACGACAGGGTCGTATTAAAAAAATACTGTAATTGACTGAAACTGAATTTTATTTACAATACTTTTGTCCAAACAAATGAGTCGTTAACCGCGCATACTTCTCGAAAAGTAAAAATGAAAAAATCAATTAAATATTTCACTGTAGAGAATAGACAATTAAAATTAAAAAACATGCAACTAACAAAAACATGCCAGGAGTTACAAACAAGAATTAAAAAAATACCAATAAAATATTTATTGAACAATATAAAGAGGCTACGTACAAATTATGCCCATCAAGGGGCGTAGCAAATTTTATTAATATTCAAATTTCACAAATTAATAAATCCACAATTTTTTTTGAGAAACTTCTATTTTTTTCATGGCAGGAAACAAAGTAGGTACCGCATTGTATTTTATACGGTTACAAAGTGAATTGGTAAACATTTTAAATTCAAAGTGAACAGAACACAACCTGTACCTTTTCTGGGCCTTATTTATATCTTCAACCAAGTCTTCTCTATTAGATGCAATTGCCCATGTTCTTGCCCTAAAAATGTATTGTTAACTTGTTACTAATCTATTGTTATTTTCGATATACTCATTTTATTTATTTTTATAATTTTATTTAAATTAATAATATAATTATTTTTAAATTAATTGTTGAATGTCTAGATTCAACATTAAATTTTACTAAATATTTAACATTTTAATCTTGCTAATATTTTATATACATATAAGATAAGTCTTGAATAAGTGCAAATATTTTCAGGGGTGGTATATTTCGACCCCAGGAACACGTTTATGAGTTTTTTTTTCGCTAAAAAAAGATATTGAAAATCGTGCATTTTCTTTTAACTTCCCTGTATATTTTTCGAAAACTTTTTAGAACTGCCTGTTCACCGCAAATTTTCCCACGTTATAATTTCTTAATCTCTGATATTACCGTAGTTACGGCTTTACTCTATGGTTGCGGCACTAAAAGGGATGCAAATACAGAAAAAATCCAGTGGCTCTCAACTCAACATTTAAAAAAAAACATTTTTTTTAAACTTAAATAACTCGGTTATTTTGGATTTATCTGAAAAAGTAAGGAGAAAATATGTTTCTTTTATCGAGATCTGCCAGCCCTGAAAATATTTGCACTTATTTAAGACTCACCCTGTATATAAGTTTGTTAACATTTAATATAGATGCTGAACTTGTATATTTTTAATTAGATCTTTCTATTTAGCTGAATGTCCCAATATGTATACTACTGTTTTTTTAACTAAAATATGTTAAAATAATTAATCACATATGTATATACATACCTAATCGGATCTCTAGGAAACAAAAAGAAACTTTTATTGCAGTTTAGTCGTCTACTCGGGCAGTTTTTTGCTGCACAACTTCGCCCAGGCATTTTAAAAACACGTAAAAATTAACGATTTAAAAATGTTCAGAAAAACAATAATAAATTATATAACACAAGAAACGAAAATAAACTAGAAAAACCAAATATATAACACAATAAACAAAAATAAAACAACAACTATAAAATATAACTCAAGAAATAAACAAAATAAATTAATCCATACGCTACTGACTCGAATCAGCCGAAAGTGTGCGCAGTCGATGAACTACGACACTGGTTACTTTCTGTCGATGGAAACCCTAAGGGCGGAGTGCGCGACGGTATGCGCGTAGCATTCCCGCCAAAGAGAGTTAGCCTGCCGTGTGATTTATATGCCTTGGTTTAACCCTCCGTGCTCTTCACAGTCGAGAAGCTCGTTTTCTTTCTCTGGCTCAGGTACCCTTAAGGTTGAAGCTTGAGTATCTGTCTCCATTTTCTCCACCTTTTTAACCTGGTCTCTCCTTAGACCTAATACAGGTGTTGTCCTGGATCTATAATAGAGCATATATCTCTTTTTCTCTATTGTCTAGTGAGAATGCTGGCAAAGCTAGTTATACACCGCAAGGGTTAGTCAGTCCCCTTCTACAGAGTCCCGCATGTAGAAGTAAGGATGACGATAGAATACAATGAGTTGGTCCCTGGTGCCCCAAGGTTGAGACCGGCAGAAGCTAGTCTTCTATCTAGCCACACATCCCTTTGACCTGGTCTCGCTATTATAAGATTTAAGTTTTTGGTGAGGTTGTCCCCTCTTGGTCCGGGCTGTTAACTTAAGACCCTCCCACATCCTCTGCCCGTGATACATGACCACAGAGGGTAGAGGGTGCCTGGTATGACAGCAGGGTAGTACCCATCCGGCATACGTTTTGGTGAATAGACAAAGTGCCCGAGGGGATTCCCCCTAGCACTTGACTAGGAGCTTCCCCACCAACGACAGGGTCTCGCATCTCCTAGAGGAAGTATAACAAATATGACCCTGAATTAAAGGCTAAATTGTGCTATCTAAAACACGCTGCAAGCTATTTGTATACCGAGTTGATCTTGGTAGGGGGATGTTTTGTGCTTTGCAGAAAAATAGTGTGAAATAAAACTAATGTGAAAAATATTTTATAATTATTAGATATTTTTTATTTTTATTAAGTGGGAAATAAAAGTTCATGTTTGTATGAGTTTGTAGTTAGTTAGTTAGTAGTTTGTATAGCGCAACAAACATATTTTAGGAAATTCATCCCCTTGAAGAATAAAATGAATAATTAAAGTTTGTATTAAGATTCATCGTTACTAAATATCTGGTTTAGAAGTATGAAATTTTGCACAGAGTTCTTTTAAAGCGATATCAGTATAAATAGCTTTTGAAAATATTTAAGTAAAAAATAATATGAAGATTCGATATACAGGGTGTCCCAGAAATAAGTGCAAGTATTTTAAGGGGTGGTAGATCTCGATAAAAGAAACATATTTTGTTCTTATCGTTTTTCAATAAGTCCAAAATAACGGAGTTATTTTGCTTTGAAAATTTAAAAAAAATTATTTTTTGCTAAAATTTTGAGAACTACTGGATCTTTTCTCGATTTTCTTTCTTGTAAATATAATTTAATATCTATGTTGCCATATTATCAAGAAATTATGATTTTTAACTAAAAACTAAAAAAATTTTCCAAAAAGTTTTTCAAAAAATTTCGAATTTTCATTTTTTTTCGCGAATGGGACTTCATAGGTGCATTTCTGGGGTTGAACTATACTACCAGTTAAAATACTTGCACTTATTTCTGGGACACCCTGTATATAATTCTAGAAAAATGCGATGAAAAATGGAAACCAATAGAAACATGTTCTTGCAGACGAAGTCGCAGGCAAAATAAGCTAGTTATGGCGCAGAATATAGCTACTAAATATATATACTTTCGGTGGTTATGGTACGATACCTTTCTAATCTGATTCTTTTATCATTCAAAACTATATTTCTTAAACTATTTATAGAGCTAACATTTAGATAACTATAAAGAAGTTCTTTTAAATTAGGTGTAGTATTTTGCGACATCACAATGACAGACAAAATGTTTAAAACAACAATAACTACAATAACAACCATACTGCAGTGTGCCCATAAAAAATTTATTTTAAATATGCCCATTTAAAAGCATAACAAACTAACTTAAATAATTGAAGAATTCATTTTTTAAACATGCACTCCGGATTTTTAGCGCAACTCTGTAATTATTTTATTAATATTTTATTATGCTATTTATTTTGTCTTGTTTCCCTACACAGAAATTACTAAATATATAATTATACAGAAAAATATAGAATTAGAAGTAAATTAAAGATTCAGGCGCCAAAAGTTTATAATTATTTTATAAATTTACTACAGAATTTACAACTGCACTAAAATAAAATACAGAGCATAAAGCAAAATGTATTTTTTGTTGATTTAAGAATATTTTATTAATTATTATTTATTTATATATATTTTTATGTAAAACTATATAATATGTATGCCTCTTCCAATATCAGCATTCAGGGTTAGGCAACTTAAAATACAATATGCATAACGCACAAAAAAACAAAAATCATATAGTGAATCGATGGTATTTAAATATAAAAATGTTGATGTATTCAACTTGGATATATCAGAAATTATTTAACAAACTATTAAATTATAATGTTTACCGTTACATTTTTTAATATTGTCTTAAGCAGAGAAAAGGTACATGCATGGTTTAAAAAGAAAAATAACATTAAAGGAAGAAAACCAAATCTAAAAGATAAATTAAATATGTTGTTTACTAATGAGTAAATTATAGTAATAAGCTAATCATTAATAATATTGTCAGTTTCAAGAATTAAAATAGTTTATAAACCTACAGTGATGTCATCGCTTCTATTCTATAATTTTTGACCTTTTACCGCTCTATTAATTTATGATGCTCGCATGCACATTCAGGTGGACCAACCTAAAATTTCAGAACCTAAATTTCCAAAAATATTAAATAGAACATTAAAATTTATTTATAACTAAATATTGTACATAATTTTTTCACACGATATTAATATTGTTTTGGTAAATCATTGTTTTTATTTGTTTTTTAATAATATAATTGCAATGATTATTTATAGTCAAAGAATGACAGCTTTTCGATTTCTAATGTTGGCAGTATAAGGAATTTTGACACTGTGTGAAATGGCTGACATCTAAATACCGAGAGGTTTTCTTTGTTTTACTTCGATATTTTCTACGTTAAATCCTTCCGCGAGTGGAAAATATTGTTAATTTTATAGGATATGTTAATTAAAAGTCACAGGCAGTGCGCGTAGTTAATTTAGTGCATGAGATCGCGACCACAATACATTTCGTTCATACAGGTTTGACACAAAAACCTGTCAATTCTTCGACCAGCAGATTATAATTTATTTTCGCATTTTCCGAAGGTAATTGATATTTTCCTATAGAATTTTCGTTTAAAACGGCGTAAAATATAAAAGGCTACGATATTTCGACAATTCCCGATGCGAAATTAAAGCGATTTTGTTGGAATGCGATACAGAAACTTTGATTTGTATTTAGGTATGTCAGATTGAGATTGCCCCCAAGCAAAAGAATTCCAATTATTTTGTAATCTAATCCTATTAAATTTACTTCGGAGATATATAAATTAGACTCGAAACTGTGGCTTTTTATGATATATTACAGTTTTTTTCGTCAATATCGATCCTTTATGCGAAAAATTATACTACCTAATATTAATTGAGTAAAGTAGTTTTTAATGATGAAAAATAATTTTTATTGATATATCATAATGCTTGTAGAATATGTCATTGTGTTTGTGTTGTATGTATTAATACAATTTATTATTTGCAGAAAAGAAGAACATATCAGAATCAAATTCTGGAATGATATAGTGTCATAATTTAAGATGAATATTTTCAATATGAATGTAAAACTGTAGTGTAAGGCTGAGCATGGGACAAGCGCCTCGGTCTATCGACATGAATCAAAACACCTCAGCCCGGTCTCCGGGCTACCATCAAAAGGCTATGGAAGAGATTCAAGTAAGTGTGATATTGTGATTAATATTTTTGAAATGTTTAGTTGTGATGTAGTCTACTAGTCTAGTGTAATGAAGAAAATAAATTAATCATCTGTTTACATAAAACAAAACTAGCTCCAATTCTACATCTTATTACTAAAGTATGTACTAGAACTGTCGAGCACTTTCAGAAGGACCCGAAGAAAACATTGGAGATCTACTGTCGATCTGATATAATCATATTTTATTCATATATTTTGCAGACTACTAAATACAGAAGCTTAATATTATTCTGTACTGAGTATCTATGTTCTCTTTCTTTGTAGAATTCTCTGAGGCCTTTTGCGAAGAGTGGTAGTGAAGTTTTAGGATCTAGTGCAGCAAGTACAATATCAAATTTCTCAGCTACAAGTGGAATTAGTTCTATGAGCTCTACGTCAGGTTCGAATGGTGATAATGGTAAAGATCACTTACAGATTCGACATGCGTTGGCTCAGTTAATAAGTATGGGGTATTCAGAGGTAAGTCAGTCAGTGTTTTGTAATTATTAATCACTTATTATTCTATCAATTATATTTCTATATTTCTAACCTATAAACATTGGTCTTTATATGTTGTTTTATAGTACGTCTGCTGGATCTGTGTGTATGAAAGGAATGCGGACAAAAAACATTTAAGTTAACAACAATATATTTTATTCGTCGACTTGACGAGTACGTCACCTCAAATCGCTCCGCCCACTCATTTTATTGGCTACTTGCAAATTTATCGAATTTTTATTGATGAGACGCGCCGTCTAATTTTTTACGAAAAACATCGAGAGAATATCGTTTCCCCTCTCACGGATACCCCGTAGCTATAGAACGGACAGACGTACTGTAGACAACTGTGAAAATTATTTAAACTTAATTTAAATGTAGCTCTTCCACTTACTATCCTTTTAGTCAAAGTTAAATGAATTTGGAGAAATTCAAATGTTTGGCTTAGTTTAATTTTCCAATGTAAAGCTTATACATTTTATCATTGTATGTTGTTTTCACTTTTAGAAGGGTTTCTGAATGTGTATAATGTGTCTGTAGTATACTGCTCTGTTAAAACAAAATGCCTTAATTACACTTGAGATTCCAGTGTGTAATTAAAAATATCAATGTATTTTCCAACTGAATAAAAAGCAAAAACATCTCTTGCTTTATTTTCGAAATTATAATAAAATATAGTTTCACCACAAGTGTAAATCGACAGTTATTTTTATACAGGGTGGTCTAAATTGTATTCGGGAAACTCCAGCAGCATATTCTGCAGATAAAAATAGGTAAAAAAATGTATAAATGTATGGCCTAAAATACTTAGTTTAGGAGAAACAGAGGATGTAGATGTAGAAGTTTCATTTTATTTCAATTTTTTCCAAATAATTTCTGAACTCAGGTCGATATTTGGATGAAAATTGGTGTCTGGGTGTTTTTTGACATGAGAAATTTTATTTTGATGTGAATATGAGTACTATTTGTAGGGGGCGCCACCTACATGTTTTTGAACTGTTTTGAAGAGTAATAACTTTTCATCCTTAGACAAGGAAAGAGAGGGGACAGCTGACACGCATATTCTCCTGTGAAAAATTTTTGAGGCCAAAACTTGATCGGCGGCCATACTTTGGTGACAAGATTTAGAGGTGACACCAAGCGAATTTTTATGTTTTTTGTGAATACTGTTTTGTTTTAAATTTATAAACTGTGTTGTTTAGTATGGTAAGATGTTCGGCGTATGGCTGCAAAGGCTGAAGCGAGAAAAAAATGACTGGAATTACATTTTACAGGTAAAAGTTGATACACAACTTGTGCTATGTAGTCATAAATGTACATTTTTTTCATTATAGCGGTAAAAATATTTAAAATGCTTTTAATATGTCTTGTACCACATCCAAAGCCAACTATTTTTCTTAATTCCAAGTAGTATTTTCAATATCCTATATTATAATTAATGTTTGAAACTATAAATAATGCTAGTTAGACAGGATTCGTCCAGGGGCGTAGGGTATTATAATCAGAGAAATACAATTTCTGCAATAAACATTTTTTTATATATTTTACATGTAAAAAAATGTATAAAGTGTTGTTATCAAATATGTAAAATAATAATTGTAAACTATGAAAAAAAAACGAAAAATTTTGGATATAAAAAATCTATATGTATAGTTGTTACATAAAACTTAAACTTAACAGATTTGCTGGGGGTGGACAAACTTGTGGCGGGGTACTTGTTACAATATTTTTTTAAATATCCTTTCAAAAAATTTGCTAGTTTAGGTGTATAATAATAGTTTCAATGAGTAATTAATAAAAATTTAAAAATAAATAAATAAAATAACACAAAGCTTCTAGAATTGTTTTTTTTTTGCGGAAAATTCGGATATTCTTATGATTGAAGGTAACAAATATTAAAAATTACATTATTCATTGAATCCGTAGGCAAGTGTGAAGGGCCATTCCTCTCAGTCGTTTTTCGATGCCATTTTATATAGTTTTTATGTCATTTTATATGTAGAATTATATGTGGAATGTCATCGATCGTCATTTCCAACAAATAGAATGCCGTTATTTTTCGATCATACGGTATATGTATATGTATATACACATTTAAAACATATATATTTACATTATTTTTTATTTAATTATACATTATACACACGTTAATAAATAAATAATTGTCTTGATGATCAGTTCACTGTGACTGTTAAATAAATTTTGCATTATCGGCTTAGATATTCTAATATTATAAAAGTGAGACTATAAAATACAAAATTGTATATGCATTACTCAAAAATAAACGATATATTAGTTAATGTTTTAATAAATATTTTTTATCGTCTAGGTACAAGCTAATTTCTTATGCTACGCCATTGGAGAATTTCGCGTGGTGACAAGTGGCCTCACTTTCAGCTGCCGTGTTACCTGTCCCCTCTCTTTCCTTGTCTAAGTTTTCATCCATACCTGTATTAAATTACTGAGTGAAAAGAATACATTTCCGCCATTATTTACGTAAAACTACGCGTAATGGTTCTTAAAAATATTTAGAATCGAACTAATCAATACATGTCATTATTGACCAGCATTAAACATGTTTACTAGGTAGTTATTAAACAGAAAATCTGGATTTTTTGTGCCAAGAGTTGAACAGAAACTGTTTTATCATACTTTTACTGGAAAAAAATATGATTAATTAAAAAAAAATAAAAGTTTCCAACAAATAAGTCAAATAACTATCTAATCAACATGCTTATTTTTTGTCAGTGATGACATAATGTATCAAATATATTATGACATAATATATTCAATACAGGTATGAACAAATAGTTATTACTCTTTAAACCAGTTAGAGAAACTCCCAGATACCAATTTTCATCCAAATTTGGACCTTTTAGTTCAGAGATTATTTGGAAAAAATCGAGTTTTCTGTATATAATTACGAATCACACTGTATAAAACTGCCCAATTCCCACAAATATATTTACTAAGAGAGACTTTACTAAGAGAGACTCTTCTTCAACTTTTTCAAAGTGTCAGATAAGAGGTTTTTTGTTAACATGGCATTATAAATGACAGTGGCGTTTGTCATTAATATATATGCTACACACAAAGACATTTTAATATGTTAAAATTTTACTCAATTCTTACAATTTCATGTTACTTGCTTCTGCATGTTGCATCCTGGCTGTGTATATGCTGTGGTCAAAATATAATGTAATATTGTTATTATTCTAAAGGAGTCAGCTATGAGAGCCCTGCAATTGGCCAATGGCCGCGTGGAACTGGCCTTGGATTACTTGGGCAAACAGTTTTCTGACCCAACAGGCAAACCCAGCGCTGGCTATACCAAGCTTATTCGCAAGCCCAGCATCGAAAGGGAGTTGGTATTACCCAGAGGAAGTCCAGCCTTGGACTCTGGTGCTGGAAGTTCACGTTCGGACAGTCCAAGAATGCCAGACATCCATTCATCAAGGTAAAATTTACATATTAAATATAATATACCTACATGAAACATAGCATACTTTAGGTTTGTTCCAACAAGCATTTTGAAATCCTACTCGAATCGGTTTTCTTGCACTTTGTTAGCATGCGCGGACGGGGAATAGTTTTGTGACGGTGCAAAAAGTATCAACGTTGGAACGCCTTGTGGATTGTTTTCGCGAGTCAAAAGTGTGAACCGTGCGTGTATCGATCGGTTTTTTGTTTTTGTTTAGAATTTCATAACATAAGCCTATTATTTTTCTTAGCAATTAGCAAAAATAATAATTATTATTCTTAAAATCTTGAGAATCAGAATCCAGTAATTGTTGGTAAGTGTTGTTTCAACTTTATACTCACTAACTCACTTACCTATCCTCTCTTTTATGATCCTGTTATGCGTAGTTTCCTGTTATTTCATTGCAGTGGTAGAATCTTTGAACATAATTTTATAAATAAAAGATTAATTAAAATTTCCGAACGATTTACTCCACACAAACTCACAAGCAAAAGTATAACGCACACGTATTCAAATTCGTAAAAAATTATCAAGACAGAAGCATCAGCAGGACGCCGGACCAGAATCAGCTGTTAAAAATTGATAATCCCTGCCAATATGCTTTAATACGCAAGTCAACCCAAACAGTTTTCAATTTGAACCATGTACCGAAATTACCGTTCTGAAATCGTAACTAAACGATCCCAAGGTAGGTTGGAACGCAAATAGGATCGTCCGATAACCGTCAAATCTCGGTTAGAACACATTTGAATTACTGCGCACGAGCGTGATCGTTCGGTTCTGCGGCGGGTTGGAACAAACCTTTTATTTCAAACAAAAAACGTCATATATGTATAAACTCACTGGCACGAAAAACAGGCGACTTAAATTTTCATGTATTTTAGTTTCATACATTGTATTCTAGTGGACCGATTTTGATGATTTTTTAAGAAATTTGTAGCTAAATTATTGGACTCTCTAGTGTCTCTTTATAAATTAAAAATGAAAAATTGTCATTTGTCAGTTATATGAGGGAAAACAAAATAATGATATTGTTACGGATTCCGTGGGTCCACTATTTAAACTCACGATAAAATACTTAACGAATTTATTTTCTCACTTTATACACAATTACTAACTTATAACACACAACAAACTAACTATTTATAAGATTCCTTCACCAAATTGTCCGATTTTCAATTTCCACGCGGTATATTCAAATTTCAAAAACTGTCTCAGTTGTCGATGGCTCCGGCTTATATACTCTATTGACTGCTTCTCGAAATTTCCCCAATTCTCGAAAGCGTACTTCTTCATACCAGACAATTCTATTGTCTGATTCCCTTACTTCTCGACTTGACTAAAAGATGGCGCCTGAAAAAGTCTTTTTAATTTCTGGCGGATACGTTGCGGTTGTGCAGGCAACCAGTAATACATTTTTAATTTCTGGCGGATGCGCCATTTTCTTGACATTGCCCCTTCTCAAATTTGATCGTCCCGATCAAGGTTTCCTGTCTGGTATCTCTTCAATCGATCCAGATGAACTACTTTCATCTTACTTCTAGGGCTGCGTTGAATCCGGTACACAACATCATTTATCCTCTTGATGACTGTATAAGGACCTTCCCATGCTGGAGTTAACTTTGGGGACCTCCCTTTCTTGCGCTGTGGGTTATATAACCATACCATATCGTCCTGTTGAAATCCCGTAGAATTGGCTCTGAGGTCGTAACGAGCTTTCATCCGGTCACTGGCTAGCGTAATCTTACTTCTTACGGCCTTATGAATTTCCATTAACCTTTCCTTCAGTTCATCCGCGTAGTCCTCTACATTTGTGGTGCCGTCGTCTGGTGATCCGAACACCAAGTCACAAGGCAACCGTAATTCTCGACCAAATAAAATCTTCGATGGTGAAAGTCCGGTGGTGTTGTGAACTGCACTTCTATACGCCATTAGGAACAGCGGTATGTGTTGATCCCAATCTCTTTGATGTTCGGCCACCATTTTCGAGAGGTGTTCTTCAATGGTCTTATTGAATCTTTCGACCATCCCATCAGACTGCGGATGTAAAGCTGTTGTCCTAGTCTTGTGAATACCAAGCAGATCACACATCTTCTGGAACAGTCTTGACTCGAAGTTCCTTCCTTGGTCAGTGTGAAGCTCTAAGGGAATTCCAAATCTACTGAAGACATTATTGACCAATACTTCAGCTACAGTCGATGCTTCTTGGTTTGGAATGGCAAAAACTTCTGGCCATTTACTGAAATAATCCATCGCTACTAAAACGTACTTGTTGCCCTTGTGCGTTTCAGGGAATGGGCCTGCAATGTCAACAGCGATTCTTTCGAATGGCAGTCCAACGTTATATTGTTTCATTTTTCCCCTAGAGCGAGTGCTTGGTCCTTGGCTGGCTGCACAAGTTTTACATTGTCGACACCATTTCTTGACATCTTCGCAATAATCCACCCAGTAAAAACGATCTCTCAGCTTGCTCAAGGTCTTGTTTACTCCAAGATGGGCTCCAGTTTTACCACCGTGAATTTCTTCCAATACCTGGGTAATTTTCTTTCTTGGTACCAGTAACTGAGTTGTTACTGTCCTGCCATCCGCACTTTCCCACGTGCGCTTTAACAATCCATTCTCAATAACCAGTGAATTCCACTGAGCCCAGAGAGCTTTGAAAACGAGCCCTCTGTTTGCAATATCCTGCCACGGTGGTCTCTCGCCGTTACCTTCCTTGAGCCGTAGTATTGCTCCGATGTCTGGATCTTCCATTTGATCTTTCCTCAATTGTGTCGTCGTCCACTGTTCATCGGTTCCAAGTTTAAAACTCCTTATCATGACAGTGCCTTCACGTTGTTCCGTTTTACAGCAGTGCTTACAATCGGTTTGACAGGGTCTTCTGGATAAACCGTCTGCGTTACCATGCATTTTTCCAGCACGATGTTGGATGGTAAAGTGATACTGTTGGAGCTTCTCGAGCCATCGTGCTATTTGACCTTCAGGTTGTTTCATCTCCATAAGCCACTTGAGAGCCGCATGATCTGTCCTAATTAAAAATTCTTGGCCGTACAGATATTTATGAAAATGATCAACTGCCTTCACAATTGCTAGCAGCTCCTTCCGGGTAACGCAGTAATTCCTTTCTGGTTTGGATAGAACTCGACTGTAATATTCTATCACTCGTTCTTCGCCATCTTGCACTTGTGATAGCACTGCACCTATGCCGATATTGCTGGCGTCGGTATCCAGGATATACCTCCCTTGTTGTTGCGGGTAGGCTAGAATAGGACTTGAACATAAAGCCGCCTTAAGTCTTCCAAAGGCTACATCACAATCGGTGTTCCATTCGTAGCCGACTTCATCACCTGTAAGTCTATGTAAGGGTGCAGCTATATTGGCAAATCCCTTGACAAATCTTCTGTAATAGGTGCATAAACCCAGAAAACTTCTAAGTTCATTTTGTCGCGAGGTTTAGGCCAACTTTGATTGCCGCGATTTTCTTCTTTTCGGTGTAAATTCCGTCTGCTGAGACTACATGGCCCAAAAATTCCACTTGTCGCTGGAATAAGCTACACTTCTTCGGGTTCAAGTACAGGTGAGCATTCCGTATGCGGCCGAAGACTTCTTCTAAATTTCGCAAATGCTCCTCAAAAGTTCTTCCCATAACCAATACATCGTCGAGGTAAACCAAGCACGTTTTCCAAGTTAATCCTCTTAACACCACCTCCATGAGACGTTCGAAAGTGGCTGGAGCATTGCATAATCCAAACGGCATGACCTTGAATTGGTATAGTCCGTCTCCTGTAGAAAAAGCCGTCTTTTCTTTGTCTTCCTCGTCTAAACCAACTTGCCAGTATCCACTCTTTAAGTCGAGAGTGGAGAACCAGCACGAACCTGCCAGTGTGGTTAACGTGTCGTCTATACGTGGCAGTGGGTAGCTGTCCTTCTTAGTGACGTCATTGAGCTTCCTATAATCCACGCAGAATCGTGTACTACCATCTTTCTTCGTCACCAAAACAACAGGAGATGACCATGGACTTGATGATTCTTCGATAACTCCATCTTCTAGCATCTTATCTACCATTGTCTCCATTTCTTGTTGTTTGGAAAGGGGCACCCTTCTAGGACGTTGTCGAATCGGCTGAGCATGACCAGTATTAATCCGGTGCTTCACAAAATCCGTTCTTCCACTGTTATTTTTCTCAAAAATACCGCCATGCTTTCGCAGGAACTGCTTAGCCTTCTGTTTCTCCTCATATGTTAGGTGATCCCATGGCTGTTCTAGATGTTTTAGTGTTTCTTTGGATGCCATTTGTGTAACAGCTGACGACACTTCATCACATCGGGTGACACTTCTTACAGGTTCGCAGATGGCTATCTTGTCACCTTTTTGAATCTTGACACAATTCGGGAAAACATTCGCAATTCTGATCGGTATATTCTTGTCGGTGTTCACCAATGACTTTCCTACTAAGTACCTATCTTGTTTCTTGTCGCCACTTTTTACCAGTCCAACACAGCACCCAGCGATTTTCTCCACTTTACCGAATACGATCTTCTCGGTATTACCAGGTATCACCACAGTTTCCGCTGATCTTACATCCATTCTGCCTGGTCCCTCGTCTGGAGATAACATGAACTCTTCATATCCAATATTTAAGATATTTCTCTGGTGATCGAACGAAAATCCATGTTGACGAATCATATCCATGCCCAAGATGAAGTCATCTTCAATATCTGCCACTAAGACGCTATGCTGAAACTTCAAATTTCCTAACTTCAGTTCGACGATAGCCTTTCCCCGTGCAACGGCCATTTCCCCCGTAACTGTACGTAAACACACTCTTCTTCCCAGAGACATCAGCTTCAATCCTTGCACTGAGTTAGCCCGCACCAACGATACCATAGCGCCAGTATCCACAGTCATTCGAATTCCCTTTCCATTGACTTTCCCGTCGATCACCAAGCTGTCAGCGGTTGTTCCTAGACTCCTAATGGAAAAAATCCTGGGGGCTCTGTTCTCCCCAGTCAATACTCGCCCCTTAGTATTGACTGATTTTAGTTTTCCTGGTGCCTACGTTCTCTGGATGGTGAACGGGATCGCATTTGAACGCGGCAATCCCGTTTAATGTGGCCATTCCTGCCGCATCTAAAGCACCTTATGTCCTGGGATCTTCTCTGGTTCTCTGTCTGGGTGTTGTTGACTCCCTTGTTTATTAGTAGCACACATAGTTTGTCGAATTTTCTACACATCTCCTCCAAACTTCTGTGGGTACTCTCGGGCTGTTCCTCTACCGTTACCGATCTTATCTTCGCTCTAGGGATGGCGCTAAAAGCAGCTTCGATTTCCAGCGCCCTGACCAGTGCTTCGCTGCTGGTAGAAAATCGAGATATTTGCAGCGCCCTCTGTAATTCGTTGTCCCTCAGTCCGCTGATAAAGCACTGAGCAGCGAGTTCCTCCCTAAATCCTTCCGGTGCTTCAGGATACGGTAGGTGTACCAGCCGACGTAAGTCTGCTTCAAATTCCTGCAGACTCTCTCCGGACCTCTGCAGGCGTGACTTGATCTGGGCCTGGTAAAGTTGGCGTCGATTTTGGTCGCCATATCTTCTGTCCAGTGCAGCGACCAAAGTTTGGTATTCCTGCTGTTGGGCTGCAGGAATAGTTTAGTAGCAATTCAGGGCAGGGCCACGCAGTGTGATGACGAGTGCCGCTGCTTTCTCCTGGTCAGTCCATCGGTTGGCAGCAGCGGCTGCTTCAAACTGGCGGTGGTACATTGTCCAAGTAGTTTGTCCATCATAGGTCGGGGCCTTGAGGTTCGCAGTTCCAGAGACGCCAGGTGTCCTTGCTTGTACCTTGGTCTTCTGTATGTCCATCTCTAATTTTTCCATTTTCTGCTGAAGGCGTTCCTCCAGATCTTCTACGACTTCTTGGAAATGGTTCTCCTGTCGTTTTTCAGGTCTTCAAAATTCTTCTGTAGTCGAAATTCCCTGATTTTCTAAAGTTTTCTTAAGACGGTCCTGATCTTCTTGTCTTTCTTTTGGCGGCGCGTTTCTATATCTTCTAAAATTTCCCTCCATCCATTCTTCTGACGACTTTCTAAATTGCCTAAAATTTTCTCAAGCCGGTCCTGTTCTTCTTCTTTGTCTTGTTGTCGTTGAATTTTCATATCTTCTAAAATTTTCTCAAGCCGGTCCTGTTCTTCTTCTTTGTCTTGTTGTCGTTGAATTTTCAAATCTTCGAAAAAATTTTGTCTTGATTTTCAGAATTTTCAGTAGGCGGTCTTGTTCTTCTGCTTTTTCTCTTTTCGCAGCACTTCTCTTGTTCTTCTGCCTTTTCTCTTCTCATATTCTCCATAAAATCGCCTAATAGTTTGCTTACTTCCTCCATTTTCTTCGGCTTGCTGTCTCTTTTACCAACCATAAAAATTCCCAAATTCGGTGTAAAAATCGTCCAATCCACTTAATTTCTTCTTAAAATCCTCTTGAATCGCACTTCCGACACCAATTGTTACGGATTCCGTGGGTCCACTATTTAAACTCACGATAAAATACTTAACGAATTTATTTTCTCACTTTATACACAATTACTAACTTATAACACACAACAAACTAACTATTTATAAGATTCCTTCACCAAATTGTCCGATTTTCAATTTCCACGCGGTATATTTCAAATTTCAAAAACTGTCTCAGTTGTCGATGGCTCCGGCTTATATACTCTATTGACTGCTTCTCGAAATTTCCCCCAATTCTCGGAAAGCGTACTTCTTCATACCAGACAATTCTATTGTCTGATTCCCTTACTTCTCGACTTGACTAAAAGATGGCGCCTGAAAAAGTCTTTTAATTTCTGGCGGATACGTTGCGGTTGTGCAGGCAACCAGTAATACATTTTTAATTTCTGGCGGATGCGCCATTTTTCTTGACAATATTTTGGTGAAAGTTTGAAACACCCTGTAGAGTACGTTAACAATGTAAGGAACTTAAAAATAATTTTAAGATCTAGATGTATCTTTTCTCAATAGTTTGTTTTTTGAATAATCTCATTGCCTTAATTTTTTTGGTGATATTCGTTTTTGAAGCAGACACATTTTTTTCCTATTTTTTACATAAAAACCATGCCTTTGCTTTTAGCCCTAGTCAACAGATATAAAATAATGGTTATGATTTATGTAATATTACTGTCTTTGAAAAACCATATTATTATTGTCTGTTGGATAGTTACTACAGTAGATATGGATTTTAAGTCCAAATGTTGAGCTCTACCATAATCAATTAAAGCAACAATCGCCGATACTTTAGTTCTTAAAACCATCTCTACTAGAGTAAACAATAATAATATCTCTTTTCAATGCCAGTGACATTACAAAAACAATAAACACTATTTTAGAAGTGTGTTGATGAGGACCCAAAATCAATGCTAAAGTTGCGTTAAAATCGTTACTGTCTTATTCAAAAGCAAATATCTCCATTAAAAATAAAGCTATTGAGGCGAATCAAAAAACAAACTATCGAGAAAAGACGTACCTAGATGATAAAATGATTTTTAAACTCCTTGCTTTGTTAACATATGCCATGGAGTGTTTCAAAGTTTCACCAAATTATCAACATTTTGTTTTTCCTTGTACAAATTGCTTAAAAAATCATCAAAATCGATCCATTAGAACAGAATATTTATTAAACTTTAATATACATCAAAATTTTAATGAGCCGGTGAGTGTCTCACTATCACTAATCAATAGATTGAAACTAGTGAATTATTACTCAAAACTACAACTAGATATTTCTAAAATCATAGTTTTGACAACTTGAGCTGTCTAGTTCTAATATCCTGGAAATTTATTTGGGAAATATCTACGTTTCACACTTCAAATATAAAGTGGATAGCGTTACTTTTAAGTTATCTAGTTGCTGCAATAGAAAGACAATCCAAAATAACAAAGGTTGGTAAGAGTTAACTAAAAATAGCCAATTTTCGAGTTGCTATAATCTACTTCTAGTTTTGAGGTGGCGATATGGAATTTGATTTACTGAACAGAACCTCAAACTATTTGTTTTAGTTACATAATTTAGAACATTTGAAAAAAAATATTTCTGATTTGCAGATACTCGCCCAGCTTCGCCCAGGAACCGCCTCCCCCGCCTCCTCCTCGAACCACGCCTCCTCCGCCACCTCCCCACGTAGGCGCGTCCTACCAGCAGCAGGTGCCGAGCAACGTGCAGCAGATGTTTAAGCGGATGTCGCCAGCGCCACCGGTGGTACCAGCCAGGGCTCCTCAGGTGGCCACTACCAGTGCTGGAGCTTACGGTGGTGGAGGGCAAAGAGGGACTAGTCCTGTGGGAGGGGGAGGATCCAGCAGGCAGCCGATGGTGGTGCAAAACGGGCCGCAGGTGAGTGGGACATTTGAACTACTATATTATTGTTTCCAAAAAAATCCTATATGGGTATTTCGTCACTGCAGGAAAATCTACAAAATCAAATAGTTATTTTTTATAAACACTGCTGCGTTAATCCAACGGAGGCTAATTATCAGCAGTTAGGTTTACTGATAAACAAATTTGTCTAACAAACAAAAAAATGCATAACGTTTCGGAAATTTTATCTTTCCGTTGTCGGAAACAAAAAAAATACAAAGAATTAAAAAAAGAACTATTTAAAATATTTAAATGCAACTATTCGAGAACGCCTTAATTTTTTTTAAACTGATACGTCCTTTGGATACGTCTACAAAAACCGTTTACGTTCTGTTAAAATGACATTATATCAAATTAAACTTCAAAATTAACCATTAACTACCTGATAACAATTACTTATAAGGTAAAACCAAAAAGCTTCAAGCTTTCAGTATGAATATTTTTAATTTGTTTTTAGTATTTTACGTATATATTATGTTTATTTGTTATGTTCTTTAAAATCAAAGAAGCGATACATTTGCCTAACATCTACAGATACAAGAGCAATATATTTATTTTTATTAGATTGTATTAAAAAAACCTCTTTTTTCTTTTAGAGGCTATCGCTTCTTTTATTATAAGTTTGACGTTGTTAAAATCTATTCTGTGTCCTGTGTCCCATGAAGGCTGACAAATCTTAGATTTGTGAAAGTCGCCCTTGTTTCACCAATATGAAATTGATCCCATTGCCATACCGACATCTTTTTTTTAAATTTGAAAAGGAAGTAAGATCTGATTAAAACTAACGTTGAACTTTCTTTCAAAGGTACAACAGCAACTCTCACAACAAATGCAAGCTCTGAGCATCTACACCAATAGCAGCGTGAACGCCTCTGAACCTCCTCCGCCTTACCCACTGATCAGCACAGGTCCTGGATCTGCTCCCCCTCCGCCTAGTTACTCCGTTTCAATTCAGAACAGGCAGAGCCCTACGCAGGATTTCAGAAAGAGCCCTTCATCTGGGATCTACTCTGGATCTACATCTGCAGGTGAACATAATTTTCATTTATTATTTTTATGTAATTTGTAAATTTTTAAGAATATTGGCCAAAAACGGCATGATAAATCTCAGAAATGATTTATTCTTCCTGAAGGTCTCTGTATCTCAATAAATTAAAAATAAACTTATTAACTAGATTAATAACAAAAAGATATTTTGAGGTACCATACTTATGGCATGCTTATTACTTTTGATGTCATATGAATGACAGCTTTTTGAAAGATACTGTTAGATCTTTATGGTCTTTGAGCCGTAGAACTGGTAAATAATAACACTTAAAGTAATAGTTAGGCTACCTAGAAGTTGGCATTGAAGTTTTGTAATTGTATTTAACTCTAAATAATATTGGCATTTATTTTCTTTTAGGTTCGCCTAGTCCTGTGCCTGTTTCTACTGCCACCACACCTACGCCAATGGCTAGGCCTACGCCACTGCAAGCTTGGGGTGCCAGGCAAGCTGTGTCGCAGCCCCCTATAATTATGCAGTCTGTCAAAAGTACCCAAGTCCAAAAGCCAGTACTGCAGACTGCGACAGCTCCTCCCATACCTGCTACACCAAATGGTAAGTCATGTTTAATTAATAACAATATTCTGATAATTACTACTATGTTAGGAGTTATTACTTACTATGTTAGGAGTTAAACTTAAGGATAAAAAAAGAAATAGCTGGATAAGAATGCGGACTAAAGTGGAGGATGTGACAGCCAGGGCGGCACGATTGAAATGGAGCTTTGCAGGACATACAGTTAGACAATCCGACAATAGATGGAACACGGTAATTCAGCGATGGAGGCCATACTTAGGACAGCGAATGAGAGGACGCCCTCAAATGAGATGGTACGATGATTTCAAAAGAGTGGCAGGACTACATTGGACACGCACAGCACAGAACAGAGATCGGTGGCGAGAATTGGGAGAGGCCTATGTCCAAAGTTGGACGACAAACGGCTAACGATGATTCTGATAATAATTAAAATTATACAGTGTTTATGTTTTTTTATTTGATATTTTGTTTATGTGCCTGTTTGCCTTATACATACAGGGTGTTTCAAAAAACATGTGCCATCTCTCGTGGGGAGATTCCTCATGTAAAAATCAGATTTTTTTTTCATATCAACATAGGTTCGATTCTGCTTTGTTTTGTAGCTACAGGGTGTTAAAGTCTAATAATCTTTCGATTTGATATAATTTTCTTCCAAGTAGTTTTAGTGAAAAATCTAATTTTAAAAAGTTGAAACATCCTGTAACTCTAAAACTATTTTCATACCCATGTTTATAGCAACGTTTTTTTCATATTTTTTGATGAGGGATCAAAAAGTACTTATTTAAAACTTTCGCAAGTTAACGATATTAAAATTTTTAAAGGTTTTTTATTAGACTTGGATCAAAGCAAATTAATAAAATTGCGTTTATCTCATCAAGGAGGCCGAAATCGACAAAATATCAAGAGACAACTTTTAATCGGCATTAAACTGCTTACACTATTTCGCTTACAAGAGAAAAAATGTCAGTGTCGTACATGCTTTTTTTAGAAAAATATTTCAGTGATAACCTATATGCACGTCTTGGTGAATATATCGACACTTTTTTAGCTTTAAAATATGGCGCATTTATAGTAACTTTTACCCTCAAAATTCTTTTCATACGTTAAAGGTACTCAGAAAAAATTATAATAAATCAAAAAAATGTTAAGACATTAACACCCTGTAGCTACGAAACATAGCAGAATCGGAACTATGTTGATATGAAAAATAAATCTTATTTTTACGTGAGGAATCTCCCCACGAGAGATGGCACATGTTTTATGGCGGAATAATTTATATTATTTATTAACAATTTCCAAAGATATACAGAGCAGCAATTTACATTTATACATTTATCTTAGGCCAAACCACGCCCCCGGCCACTTCTGCCCCGCCACCCTCCTACACAGCTTCCATCCAGCAGAAGGCGTATACGAACGGAGGCGGAGCTTCTGGCAAGCCGGCCGCGCCCCTTCCAGGCGGGGTCTGCTCTAATCAGGGCGCGGTTAACGTGCCCACTACGGAACCGCCCAGCTACGCGAGTAGCATGCAGGCCAAAGCCAAGGCTACAAGGGGTAAGTTAGGGAAATAATTAGAGTTATTCTCATCAACTACACTTTTATACTATACTATTATATGGAGTGGTCAAAATTAAAATGGATCAAGTCCAATTTTCTACTATTTTAAGATAATCGTCTAAATATGTTTATAAAATATTGTTTTTTCTAGTAGAGAAATGAATCAAGGCATACCTCACGCGTTAAGCAGTTATAGCCTGTTTCTGTTTGGTTTCTGAATATTCTGTTGATTCCTTTCAGAACTGAAATTGATCGTTGTGTGCGATTTTAACACACGTGCTAAAGTTTAGAGCTAAAAAAATATTTTTTTTGATAAAATGGATGTCCATGAAAAAAAGTCTGAACCATTTGCACCAAGTGAATTGGATTATCAGCCATCTGAAAGGTCCGATTCTATCGATTCTGAAAGTATAGTTTCATTTATCAATATTTTCACTATTGCTACATAAATAAGTTAGACTCTTTTTCTTACAAATACTTAGATAAATATCTGACATGTTGTTCTGAATAAAACTGCACTAGTAATCTTATCATTTTATATAGAAGTAATGTAACTCACTTTAAGAGGCAACACATGAAAGATCTTTTTCCCTTTATCCCGCCTATATACCATAATTATTGTAAAAATCGAAGAAAACACTATTAATAGACAATGTCAAGTCAACAAATCCCTTAATGACGAATAAGAATGTACCGTGAACGAATTTGATCTAGATTGAAGAGTGTCCCAATTTATATCTAAAATTTCAAGAGAAAAATTGGTTCAAGTCCAAAAAATTATAAACAAACATTCTTAAAAATGACCACAGTTGTATTTTGAGTTACTTTAGTTTGCAATTATAAAATTTCAAATATAATAAAGCATTGTGTCAAGTTTTCTTCTCCAGCTTATTTTATTTTAACTTAGTAACATTAAAAGATTTAACTCCCATTTTCTTCATAATTATCTTCTAGGACTTGATCAAGTTCACTTCTGAACCCCTCATATACAGGGTGGTCCAAACTGTATTCCGGAAACTTTGGCAGCATATTCTGCAGGTAAAAATAAGTAAAAAAGTTCGTATAAATGTATGTCCTAAAATGCTTAGTTTCGGAGATACAGGGTGTAGAAGTTTCATTTTTATTTCGATTTTTTCCAAATAATTTTTGAAGTAATGTCAATATTTGGATGAAAATTGGTGTATGAGAGTTTTTGATCTGAGAAATTCGATTTTGATGTCAATATTGCTCGTACTTGTAGGGGGCGCCACCTACATATTTTTAACTGGTTTGAAGGGTAATAACTTTTCGTCCGTACCTGTATAAAACTATTGAGTATAAAAATATACATTTACGACGTTTTTTACGTAAAAAAATATTTTGGTAAAAGTCGCTACGAGTAATGGTTATCGAGATATTTGGAATCTAAATTATCAATATCTGTCATCATTGACTTACATTAAACATGTTAACTAAATAGTTGTTAGACTGAAATCATAAATTTGAAATGTTTTGTGCCCAAAAGTTCAACTGAAACTGTTTATCAAAGAAAAATTTATGAATTATTAAAGAGGAGTAAAAAGTTCCCAAATTTATCATTTAAGTCAAATAACTATCTACTCAACATGTTTATTTTTGTCAATAATGACACATATTGACTATTTCTATTCTAAATATCTTGAGAACGGTTGCTCCCACCGATTTTTTCCAAGAGACATTTTTTAAGTTAAAAAAATGGGAATGTATATTTTTTCACTCAGTAGTTTTATACGGGTACGGACGAAAAATTATAACTGTTCAAAACAGTTAAAACACATGTAAGTAGCTCCCCCCATAAAATAATAAATACAAGAAGAAGTGTCAAGTCAGCGTTAAATTATCGAAACAGCGTGGCTGCCTGGGTAACTAATTTTCAGATATGGCGGCTGGGACAATTGACATGACATAGAATTCAACAATTTCAATTTCAAAACAATTTCAATTTTATGAAATTTATTTCCGTTTCCGGTTTTTAATGGCGGGCTGTTCAGCAGGTTTAAATGAGGGTTAATATACTTTTTACTCTTTCTAGTAGTAAATAATACAACAAAATTACTCAAAAATATTTATTTGGAATTTAGAACAATGTAAATATGCAAATCAACACAATTAAAGAGCTATAAACCAATAAACTACTGTATCAATATCAAATATTTAAATAATATCAGAGATGCTGTGTTAAAGTGAATTAGTAAAGTAACAGAGTGCATTGACTTACAGAAACTTGAAGATACATAAATGTTTTCCCACAGCTTCACGGGCATAAACTAAATAACTGGAAGGAAAAAGGCAACCTGAACCCACACAAAACCTGGAATCAAAAAAATATGTAAAAAACATAAATATAGGTACATAAGACTTTTTGTGAATTAAATCAAACAGGATAGAAAATAAAATGAATAAATATGATACATATACATCTAATACCTCATTTGTATTTTAAAAATAATCTACATACATAGATTTATAGCATTATTGCTATGAAAATACATAATAGGTACCTATGTGATATGTAATTACGCATTTTTGTTCATCTTGTAGAAAATTAATGTAGGCTAATAATAGTTCAATAATCATAATTTACCTTGTATAACTTGCTTTCAATTGCTCAAAATCACCGATCAGTCTTTAAAGTAGAGATACGGAAAAATCCTTGGCAAAGAATATCCCAAAATCCTTGGGTTTAAAGCTAAAAAATATAAAAACAGTTAATATATTACCTATTTTTACATATAATATTGCCCATACCTACTACACGCAGAAACGTCGATTTCATCATTTTCTTCGTGTAATTAATATCATATATACTTTATTAAAGTGTTAATAAGGAACTTTATATCAAAAAACATCTTTGTACTTATACATTTCAGCCGAAATATCAGAAACAAACTTCCAATCAAATCTAAACGGCAAAAATTCAAATGGCGCCCGACCTTGCCAGAGGCCTCGGGAGCTGACGCTGACACACAGACAAAAGACAAAAGAACAGAACGCCGACGTGCATAAAAATGTTCCGTAGCAGAAATTGACAGAAATCATATAGAAATATTCAGATTTTTGTCTAGGACAGTCTAGAAGCCCATGCTTTCTGCCTGGGTAGAACCGCGCCACAACTGTTTCCAATTTTCCGGTTTACTGTCACCCCCCTGGCTCCCCCTACAAATAGGAGTCATATTGACATCAAAATCAAATTTCTCATGTCAAAAAACTGCCAGACACCCATCCAAATATTGATTGACGTTGATGAAATAAAAATAAAACTTCTACACCCGAAACTAAGCATTTTTGGACATACATTTATATGAACTTTTTTACTTATTTTTATCTGCAGAAGTTTCCGGAATACAGTTCGGACCACCCTGTATATACTCATTTTTATACTATAGATATTTTAGCCTAGAATATTTTCGAATATATTGTATATAGTTTGTAATATGATTTTTTGTTTTTCTGTAGCTCATCCACCATTGCCACCATTACCGTACCCAGACGACACTCATACAACTTTCACTACTCAATCTCACTCGCATCCCCCACTCCAAAGAAAGTTCTCCCCTGCTGTAAGCGGGGCCAACGAGTGCTGCAGGGCGGATAGTCCTCATTCGACAGGATCGAGCGAGGGAAGGAGTCTGTATCCCACGGACAACGGAGCACCGCCTTTACCACCTACCGGTGAGTATCATTGTATTTATCACTGAATAAAAACTAAACAAGGAGTCCAATACTACAATCCCTAGAGAGAAAATCGACGTCATGGAAATACCTTTTTGTCAGTTTAGTTTGACGTTTTGCGGATTTGGTTATTTTTTGTTTATTTTATAATTGGATTTAAGCTTGATTTTCATGCATCCGTTGTCCGACGATACGTTGATACGATATTAATTTTATTGGTAGAATTTAAGGACTTTCATTGGTTAGAAAATAACGCAGTTTTTAAATTTATTGCATTTTCATGCCTCTGTTTATCGGATATATGTTGTGTCATTTTATATTTTCGTTTCCATCAGGACTAAAATGCAGTAAGATTAGATAACTAGGTGTCGTAGCCGCGACTACCCCGTAACTTAAATTGTTACTATAAAGTAACAAAAACTTAATGGAGGCATTATGGTAGCACTTGTTTGTAACCCCTACTTTGAAAAGTTACTATAAAGTTTTTGGTCTTTTATGGTGTCATATTCGAAGATTCGGGTAGTTCCAGCCACTTCTTTAAATTACATGTATGCGACTTGCAATCGGGGTGTTTATTTTCCACTTTTATGGTAGGTAGGGACTAACCGGTCACTCTCGAAATATACTTCAAAGTGACTATTCCTTATAGAGTAACATTCTAAGTGGCAGAGTGGGTCTAGGAACTATGCTTTAGGGGCAGTGACATTTTAAAAAGGACTGGGAACTATATTTGCTAGTTAGGTTTTTTTTTCAATCATACGTAGATTATATTTCGCTTAGATATGTATTCTTCCATTATTATACATGGAAATTTTTAAAATACTGTACTGCACAGGTAAAAACAGGAAACACTGTGTACAGCTTTTTATTTTGTCTCTCTGTCAACCGGTCATTTATACTTATTCTACTCATCTTATGGAATCCTTCCCTTAGAAAATGGTCATATTATTATCGGGAGATGTCGCTAATCATTTCGTTATGTCTTTCGTAACAGTATCATTAGTATCGTTCTTCGAATACTAAGGATTAAGATCCTGTAAATATAATGTATTTATTATTTCAGCATCAACGTCGGTGAAACCCAATCCTAATAACAACAACAATCATGTATGTATTAATGGAAATTCATCGTCAGAGAGCAACGGTAGTAAGAATTCTGCAGAGGGACCACCACAGTTGCCGCCTTATGCAAAAATAAAACACCAGGTAAAGTATTACTATCTTATATTTGGCAACAGAGTACCTTTTTAGAAGTATAAATATTGTATACAAAGTATTATGAAGTGAACCCGATATTTCAACTTATATTCTATAAAAATATACCTTTTATTTTTACCGTTTTTCAGTCTCCTATACCGGAAAGGAAGAAGATCAGCAAGGAAAAAGAGGAAGAAAGAAGAGATGGTAAAGTGAAGAACTACTCTCCACAAGCGTTCAAGTTCTTCATGGAACAACATATAGAAAACGTGATAAAGTCCTACAGTCAGCGAATGTTCAGAAGGATGCAGTTAGAGAAAGAAATGGTTAAAATCGGTAAGTTCTGTCAAAAATATTTTTGGTACATTAATAACTCTGCTTGGCGCAATTCTTTTAAGATACTTTCAAGATGGCGGTATTTTCGATCTCTACAGGGTGGTCCGAACTGTATTCCGGAAACTTCGGCAGCATATTGTGCAGATAAAAATAAGTAAAAAAGTTCATATAAATGTATGGTACTAAAATGCTTAGTTTCTGAGATACAGGGTGTAGAAGTTTAATTTTTGTTTCGATTTTTTTCAAGTAATTTCTGAAGTAACGTCAATATTTGGATGAAAATTGGTGTTTGGAAGTTTTTTGACATGAGGAAATTTGATTTTAATGTCAATATGACTCCTACGTTTAGAGGGCGCCATCTACATATTTTTTAACAAGTTTGTAGAGTAATAACTTTTCGTCCGTATCTGTATAAAACTACAGAGTAAAAAATTACATATTTGCAACCTTTTTTTACGTAATAAAGTTATTTTGGTAAAAATTGTTACGAGTAATGGTTGTCGAGATATTTTGAATCGAAATTATCAATACCTGTCATCATTGACATAAATTAAACATGTTCACTTAATTAGACATGTTGAGTTATTAGACTGAAATCATAAATTTGAAATGTTTTGTGCCAAAAGGTCAACAGAAACTGTTAATAATAATAATAATGATTAATTTAAAAAATAAAAAGTTCCCAAATTTATCATTTCAGTCAAACCACTATCTACTCAACATGTTTTATTTTTGTCAATAATGACATGTATTGACTAATTCCATTCTAAATATCTTTAGAACGGTTGCTCGTAGCGATTTTTACCAAGTGACATTTTTTACGTAAAAAATCACGGAAACGTATACTTTTTCACTCAGTAGTTTTATACAGGTACGGATGAAAAGTTATTACTCTTCAGAACAGTTAAAACACGTGTAGGCTCTATAACTAGGAGTCACATTGACTTTAAAATCAAATTTCTCATGTCAAAAAACTCCCAGACACCAATTTTCATCCTAATATTGATGTTACTTCAGAAATTATTTAGAAAAAATCGAAATAAAAATGAAACTTCTTCAACCCTGTATCTCCGAAACTAAGCATTTTAGGACATACATTTATACAAACCTTTTTACTTATTTTTATCTGCAGAATATGCTACAGAAGTTTCCGTAATACAGTTTCGACCACCTTGTATATGACAACTAAGCATTCATGATTTTTTGTAAATTAATCTTGCCATTTGTTTTTCATTAGGTTTGAGTCCAGAAGCTCAACAGCAAATGCGAAAAATGCTGTCTCAAAAGGAATCAAACTATATTCGTTTGAAAAGAGCCAAAATGGACAAAAGTATGTTTGTTACCATCAAACCCATAGGCGTAGGTGCTTTTGGAGAGGTTACTTTAGTGAGAAAAATCGACACCAACCATCTGTATGCCATGAAGACCTTGAGAAAAGCGGATGTCTTGAAACGTAATCAGGTATACAGTTTTTTATAATATTTTCAGTTTATTTTTTGTGATTTTTGTGTCTGCATTTGCTCTTATAAGTTGTACATTATCAACCTATTAATGGCATTTTTATTCTAACATATTAATTTGGGTACTTTATACGTAAATTGGATACTATCAAATTTATAACCCAGATATTACAGTTACTATTAAAATTTAAAGTTCGATACATTTGAACTACTTTTTAGAATTTTTGTGAATTTGGCTAGTTTGTATTTTTGTAAATTATTTTAGGTTGCCCATGTGAAAGCTGAACGAGATATATTGGCTGAAGCTGACAATGAATGGGTTGTCAAACTGTATTATTCTTTCCAAGACAGTGACATTTTGTATTTTGTTATGGACTATATACCTGGAGGTGACCTAATGTCACTATTAATCAAATTAGGAATTTTTGAAGAAAGGCTAGCAAGGTAAAACTTTTTTTTGATTTATATATGTTCGAGTATATGTTTTTTTTTTAATTTAATATTAACTAAAATTTTTAATAATTTTATTTTTTCAGGTTTTATATCGCAGAGTTGACTTGCGCAGTTGAGAGCGTTCACAAGATGGGATTTATTCACAGGGATATCAAACCAGATAATATTCTCATAGACAAAGATGGTCATATTAAATTGACTGATTTTGGGTTGTGTACAGGTTTCAGGTGGACGCATAATTCAAAATATTATCAACCAAATGGTAAGTCTTTATTAACTTCATCTGTAAATATGTATAATACGATAATCGCAAAACATTTTCCGGTGCACGTCATCAATCATTTCGAAATAAACACTAAAGGGCCGGCTACACGTACAAGCTTTACCACGAGCTTACCTGCGCAAACCTGTTTGTATCGGAAACTCGCTGTCTGTAGACGGTAAAACGGTAGCACGCACAAACCAACAAAAAATGGCCTGCGTAAACGTCGCGCTGCTAAAGATTTTAGTTTGCGCAAACCAGTTTGTGCGGTGATATTATACGTGTAGACGGTATCAGCGAGTTCAAGGTATAGTTTTGTGACTTGTGGGTTTTGTGTTATTAGTTATCAACTCTTAGAAAATGTCTGATATTCGTACTTATTCCAATAAGGAGTTTATGACGAGTTTTATTGAAATATATTGATCGTTGGCGTGTCTATGGAAGATAAAATTGAAAGATTATTCCGATAGAAACAGAAAAAATGATGTGTACAAGAAAATTGTTTTCTATTTAAGTCAGTTTTTACTCCACTTCGATCTATACCGTTTATTTTGCTGTTTTTTCTTTAACAACAAGCAATAAAAAACAATAATTCGTCACTTGACATTTCCACGAACGGAACCACAAATTCAGAATAAAAATAATGATGAATGTACGCTCTTACTTGCATTGTGTGGACACCGCACAGTGTTCCTTCTAGTTTGCGCAAACTATACCGTGCAGGCAAGTCGCTGCCGTGTAGCCGCCGCTTAAAGCTTATAAACTTGACTAAATGAAATTTTGGCAAAAATGTTTAAATTTGTTGTATAATTTAAGATGCCGAGCATATCTTCATTTTACTTTATAGAGCAAATGATTGTAACAGATATTTTATTTAGATTAAAGCTGCAAAAATTAGTTTAAACCGAATTTTATTATCGCTAAGTTGAGTCACATTGCGCCGTGTTCAGTAACGTTGTCGTTTATTATTTGACAATTATCATAATGTCAGTCATTATTTTGCATAATATCATATTGTTGAATCTTTGTGACTAATTCTCGTTTTTTGCCTATTTTCATAGTTTTTTTTTAAATTGTACTTTTAAGCACAAACAGTTCTTTTAAGAACTAAATTTTCGAGTTTTTGTTTGGTTTGGTTTGGTTTGGACGAAAATATGCCGAAGCATTTAAACAGTCGAAACAAAGAGCTTGTAGCTTCCCAGATAAACTATTTTAAACGAGAACGTGAGAATAAAGCTCCTTTATTACCCTTGACTGCAGTCAGAGAAGTAAGTTTGGTTGGTAAGCACATTATACCACTTTCAAAGTTATTTCTATGCTAGTTTTTATTAAATTCTGTGATTATTAGTTTGTGCATTAATGGCACCTTCTTACTTGTTATTACCACTTGTAGTGTTCTAAGATGTATATGAATATAAATAAATAAATAACCCATAATAACGCTTAGAATAATCTTCATAATGGACTAGTTTTTGCCAATATGTAATAAGTAAAATAAGCTATAAAACAAATAATAATATGTTATTATATCAAATCAATTAATTATTAAAATATTAATTATTAAATTAAAATGATTAGGTATAGACATTTTTTTAATAAATATATTGTTTCCCAATTTTACATTAAGATTAATCTCATAAATCCATCATAATCTGGCAGCGTCGCGCGTCGCGTCGTCGCCATCGCTTGTCACTCAAAATTGATCACGTGCATCGGAAATTGTTTTGGGCTTACCGTATATTATCATCACTCACTTTAAGTCGCAAGATTAATTTTAAATTTGTTTTTTGTCACGTTTATCCTTTACACACTGTATATCCAAACAGGAGATCATAGTAGACAAGACTCGATGGACCCCATAGATGACTGGAGCGAAGAGTGCAAATGTAAAGTCTTGAAACCGTTAGAAAGACGAAGAAGGAGGGAACATCGATGTTTGGCGCACTCTCTGGTCGGAACGCCGAACTATATCGCTCCTGAGGTGCTACAACGTAAAGGCTACACCTGCGTTTGTGATTGGTGGAGCGTCGGTGTTATTTTGTACGAGATGTTGGTCGGTCAGCCTCCGTTTTTAGCCAATAGTCCAGCAGAAACGCAACACAAAGTAAGTTTTTTTCTTCTCTTTGCTAATGAAAGAAATGTCAAATTAAATAATGTAATTATGCTTTAGGTTATAAATTGGGAAACAACTCTACAAATACCCAAGCAAGCAAACTTGTCTGAAGATGCCACAGATCTGATATTGAAGTTATGCTGTAGTGCAGAGAAGAGGTTAGGAAAGAATGCATCTGAGGTCAAGAATCATCTTTTTTTCAAAGAGATTGACTTTGAAAAGGTAAATATTCAAATTTCCGGATTGTACATTTGAACTATTTTCTCTGTTTTTATATTCTTATTATTCTTGTTCAACAATTATACGTTTTGATACAAATTATTAAATGTTTTAGGGCCTAAGAAGACAACCTGCACCATACAAGCCCAAAATCGACTATCCTACAGACACTTCCAATTTCGATCCTATAGATCCCGATAGATTGAGGAACAGCACTTCAATAGATTCATCTAATTCAGATGACATAACAGATAACTCAAAATTGTTTCACGGATTCTTTGAGTTCACATTTAGGCAAGTATTAAAAATTAATTTATATAAAATACTGCATTATTTAATTTTATTTTTAAATTTGGTATTTTTAAAATGATCTTTAAGTTAAATTTTACTTAATAATCGCTTTCAAAAGACAATTTAAGAAAACAAAAATGAATTAATTATAAATTATATAAACAGTTATCATTTACATCAACAAAACTCGTCTCCTTAACAGCACTTAAGGGATATAAAGGGCCATTACTACCGCTTTTTTGTTCAAAATATTCTTGTTTGTTCAAATTATTCAATAAGGTTGCGATGAGTTTTTTTGCAACAGCTGTTAAGCTACTTCGGCATCTTGTATGCTTCGCACTAAAAGCGATTTATAACTTATATATTAAAAAAACTTATACATTAAAAACTTGGACTTTTAATGAAAACACTTTCTTTATGTTAAAATCATTAAAATCAAGTTAAAAAGACTAAGGCCGTGGTCCAACATAAAGCTGGTAGCCTAGAGTATGGCGGAGAGGAATGGTCCTCTCCACTCTACACTACTCAACGCTGTACGCCTCATATGGGGCGCAATATGGAAGGATTCTAATACTATTATTTTTTTTTATATTCATGCATTAGAGTGTTGATTGAAAGAATGGGAAATATACGCAACCTAATGAGCAAATTCGTGACAAGGCTAATTTGATTTTTCATCACGTCTCAAGTGCTGTACGGTGGAGTCTCTCTATTCGTTCTGCGGCCAGCGCATAAAACACTTATTTTCTCTAATTCGGCTAGCGAAGGAATATCGAAGACGTTGTGGAACTGAAAGCGACAGTGTTGGCATATTAAAATGTGTAATATCTGTAATATGTTTGACGAAAATATCTTTGGATGAAAAATCCGCGTTTATGTATTTGAAAATAAACAAAAATAAAAATTCTTTTATAGGTACTAAATATTTCGTTTGATCGAAAAAAGTCGTTTAGTTGGCTTGGAAATTACAAAAAACTATTGACATTTACCATAATATTTTACATATAAAATAACAGCGATCTTCATTTCCAAGCCAACTCGCACGCCGTTCTTTGTTTAATCATATAATATTATATTAAACTGTTTAATGATAGAAAATCCGTATTATTAACGTACTGTACCCAAAATCCGTAAATCTACGGATTAATCCGTAGTTCTAGCAACACTGTCTCCGGCAACCACCCACTTTGTCCACGGAAAGCAGAACTACGGTACAATATATTTTTTATCCGCTGCGCTGTAAACGACTATCGACGCAGAGCTAAACTAAATCTCGGACAGATTGACTAGCGGCGACGGTATCGCCAGCTACATCTCGGACAGGTTTTGTGCCATGAAATCGCCCATAAGATTGCGCATCTTCTTATTACTTCAATCAACGATTATAGTTTAATAACATTATCATGTTTTACACTTTGAAAACTTTTTTTTATACTTTTTCACAATTTGAATTTGATTTGAATTTTTGCGTGTTTGTTGCGCTTTTCAGACTTTGTTTTGAGATATTTTTTTGTTTATTTGTAATTAGTTTCATGCAAAGTGTATAAGTCATGGAAGACATTGTGTCAGGACTAGATTATTCTATTAAAAATAGTTACATTTGGTTTCAAAGTATGACATCATATTTTTACAAAACACTGTAAGAGGGCTTTTTGGCTGATTTTTTCGAAAATTCCACACCTGTAATTTTTAACCAATGAAAACGTGTTTTTTTGACAAATCACCATGGCGACCGATAAATTTTAGTGAAAATTTTTTCCTTGTGGGCACCCAACAGCGAATTATACTAGAAATTTTTTGACGTTTATAATGACAGAATATCTTTTTGAGAGTCTGGTTTTTATTTGTTTACATGATAATTTTGATACATTTCAATTACAAAACTGAGATGAAAGTTTGTAAACTGCTTCCATACGCTTGACTTTGATTTCCTAGTATTCGCGGGTGTCAACTGTTTAATCTCCTGACGAATATATTCTTTGCTTTCATGCCCGAAGCGAAACATTTTTTTTAAGCTGTGCCGCTTGACAGCTTCAAAACTGAAATAGTTTTTAGGTTTGGGTGTCACTTAGTTGTCATAGTAACTAAATAATCATTTCGACCAAAAATCGAAAAATACATTTTAATTATTTGATTTTCAAACACAGTTTGGTGTGGAATTTTCTTACCGAATACCACACGAGGTCAAATTAAATCCAGACATTTTTTCTCGCTCATGAATATTTTTAGAAAATTATCCCTCGTCTTCGACTCGGGATAATTTTCAAAATATTCATGAGCTCAAAAAAATTTCCGGAAATAATTTGACCTCTAGTGGTATTACTAGTGTCAATTTTTTTGTCATGTCAATGTCAACGGTAGAAAAAAGTCGTCAGTATTTAATTTATGATTTCAGGCGATTTTTTGATGACGGAGGCGTATCGGCGCTCAACAAAATCAACTTGGACGACAACGAAAACCAAGGAGGTCCAGTCTACGTATGACGACACAGATAACCAACAGTCGTCCCTTATATACGTCATCGTGAGGGTTGGAAGCCCTATAAAACAGATAGAGAGGTATATTTGAATGTGTATGCGTTATCCTTTTTTGACCATAACCTCTCTACTACATATTTTTTGTTTGTTTTTTTCGATAGAATTTTGATTTCCTCGAAAATTCGGCCAAAAGAATTTAAAAAAGCGGTATATTTGATGGAAGAACAGTTTTAACTGTGGCGAAATAAAAGTTAAATGGTGCGCAATATCTTAGAGAATCAGATCTATAATATAATTAATTGTTAATGTATATCCGAGTTGTTGGGTACGCTGTTGTGTTTTTTCCTTGCAATATTTTACGGTTCATTAAAAAAATAATTGGAATAATATAGGGTGTGCCAAAAAGTCTGCAACATATGGGAATTTTTTATTGTTTTTCACCAACACCACCACCCACCCCACGCCCACAACCGGCCCCACACCCACAACGCATTCCCGACTTCCCCCCGTATTCCCTATGCCACTCCGTGACGAACATCTCTCACACAATAAGAAACCTACCACGCTACCACACCCCGCTCCACACCATGCTACCTATAAACACCACCACCCACCCCACGCCCACAACCGGCCCCACACCCACAACGCATTCCCGACTTCTCCCCGTATTCCCTATGCCACTCCGTGACGAACATCTCTCACACAATAAGAAACCTACCACGCTACCACACACCCCTCCCACACCATGCTACCTATAAACACCACCACCCACCCCACGCCCACAACCGGCCCCACACCTACAACGCATTCCCGACTTCCCCGTATTCCCTATGCCACTCCGTGACGAACATCTCTCACACAATAAGAAACCTACCACGCTACCACACCCCGCTCCACACCATGCTACCTATAAACACCACCACCCACCCCACGCCCACAACCGGCCCCACACCCACAACGCATTCCCGACTTCCCCCCGTATTCCCTATGCCACTCCGTGACGAACATCTCTCACACAATAAGAAACCTACCACGCTACAACGAATTTTATGCCGATTTTTTTCGGCATATCCAATAACAGAAAATAAATTAAGTGACAAAATATGAAAAAGAGTCAAAGGGAATAGTCTACGTCTGTGTTAAGTTTCATAAATATATGAGGACTTTTGAAAAATATTGATTTTATTCATATATTTTAAGTTTAAAAAGTACCAAACTTGTTGCAATGCCGTATAAAAAAACAAGCATATTTTTTTGTGTCTAGAATAGAGTATCAGAATATTTCTTAAGTCTATAAGGTTATTTTGAATGTGTTTGTTTGAATTTTTTTATTTCTATAAGCCATTGCAACAACGAGGCACCTAGTCTAAAAATTAACTTATATTTTTTTAATTTATGGCCTAAAAATAATGTTTAATGCAGTAAACATTTTTTATTAAATTTATGTAATTCATAAAAAACCTTTTTCCTTTATTTTTTTTGAAAGATCCTGTATATTGATGAAACTTGCAGTATGTTCCCGGATTGTCTTTACAAGAGGAAAACAACTTTTTTATTCTTGACATTTTGAAAAAAATGCATTCTTCATACTTTTTTTGCTTGTTCTCGTTTATACTTTTCCAAATTTCCATACTGTTTTAGAGAAAATTTAAAAAAACATGAAAATTTAGATGAATTTTAGTTAGCCAAGTCCTAAAAATCAAAAGGCGTTACTATGGTAATATCATTCCGATTTCATTCTTTGATAGATTATTATTGGTAGAATTTTACTTAGCGCCATATTTTTTGTTGTTTTAAAATGTTAAAGAAGCACAAAATTTATTTAATTCAATGCTACGAAAAGGGTGATAATAATTATCCGAAAATGTGATAGTTTAACATCAGCAAAAAATATGACGTTTATCAAAATAATAAGAACCATGTATCAAAGAATGAAATCGAAAGTATATTTCCATAGAAACGCCTTTTGATTTTATTACTTTTAGGATAAATTCAACCATATTTTCATGTTTTTTTTTAAGTTTTCTCTAAAAAGATATGGAGTTTTGGAAAAGCATAAACGGGACTAACTGTTTTAGAACAAGCAAACATTTTTATGAAGAATGCATTTTACTCTAAATGTCAATAATAAAAAAGATTTTTCTCCTGTAAAGACAATCCTGGGACTCTCCAATTTTTCTCTTTGCCAATTTTTGATATGTTTTTGACATAACCCCATTTTTTGCATTTATGTATAGAAGATTTTTATAACTCATTGCCATGACAGTTGTCTCATGACATATGTCAAAACTGATTTTTGTTATTGGATCTGCTGAAGAAATTTCGTATAAACATTGTTAAACTCAATAATAAAGAATTTCCTCATTTATTGTGCACTTTTTGGCTCACCCTGTAGATTTGAAATTATTAAAATCTGTCACATTTACTGGTATAATTACGCAAAACAAACTCGTTCTAACCTCACATAAACCACCAAATGTTTATTCTAATTATTTTTTTGTGTTGTACGAACTTTAGAAACATACAGGGTGTTTAAAAATGCATGTGCCTTACTAGTGCCTCGTTTTTTAAAGGAAAAAGTCCCCTTTTGGTATTTTCCTCTATTTTAAATTCTTCAAGATTAAATACAGTTTGTTGAAATGACAGCGTGCGTCATTCTTTGGTCACTAAAACAAAATAATAATATTTAATGAATTATAATGTATGTTTAGCTTATTTTGGTTAGTTTATATAGATTGGTTTTTAACTGATTGAGATTGGGTCTATGTAGTTAGAAACCAACCAAAGGCTGTGACCAAAATATTTTTTGTTGTTTCTTGGGCAAACCTAAAATACTTGTAAGTATACAGGGTGATTCACTGTTCCTGGAACAAGTTTAATATCAGGTTTTCTTTGTGAAATTTTAATTTGTTTTTTTCTAAATATAATGCAATGGAAGCGCACTTTTTTATTTTTTTATAAATATACATGGCGATTGGGTTATATTTTTTCTTAAAATTGTAGATTTATGTTTTGAAATGTTTAACTTGGTAGGTTGATCCCTTTAACTTGGCAGGTTGAAACTGTATATACCAAACAGTATAGCTTATTTTTATATGATTAGTTTTGAAAAACACTATCATGGAATACTTCCATTTAAAAGGTATTAATAATTTGCACTTTGTCAATTTGGAGAGCTTTAAATAAATAGAAAATTTATAATCTAAAAATGTTCATGTTTTGAAAATTCACTGAGAGCACTAAGTATATAGCAATCTATTTAAGAAAAACTACATTGGTGTAGAAATATTTTTAAAATGTGCGCTACTATAATCTCACATAATTTACAAAAAAAGGCAGTGAAAATCTCACATAGGAAACCTAATATGGAGCTTTTTCCTAACAATGAGTCACCCTGTATAATTTTTTCTTTCTTGTAAATAATTGAGATATTATTAAGTATCGTGGAGACTAAGAGTGAGAAAGAGAGAGTAGATTGTACTGGAAAATAAATAGTTTTTTTTGTTAAAGTTGGTTTGATGATCATTTTCTTTTTAATTTTTTTATCTGATATGGGTAAGTAACCGATTATTGAAAAATATTTGAATAACACCATTTTTTCTGATCAGAAATTGGCAATGTGGTAGTATTTGTCCCAGATTATATTTATAGTAGGGTTTCCAATTTTCGGGATCGAGATTTAAAATCCCGGAATTAGAACCTATAATCCAGGGATCCCGAAATTGACTATCAGAATGAGAAATTTAATCTTAAGAAATACTTAATGAAATTGCAGCTACATATATCAAAAAGAAAAATGAGAAAATAGCTTTATTAAAATAGACAAAACAAAGTAACATCCATATTTAGCAAGTAAAAAAATACAATTCTTGTTGCAAAAAAACAAAATATAGAAAACACGGAAATATAACTTTCAAATATTGACGTTCTGCTTAGTATAAATAAAATATGATCTTTGAAAGACTAAAGTGTATAAAGTCGAATCATTTTTAGATTTGGACATTTAAATTTTTCGAGATTTTTGGGATTCCGGGATTTAATATCAGGATTTTGGGATAAACATAGACTACTATATCTATCTATTTGGAAACCCTAATTTATATACAATTTACAATTATTTCTTCATATTTCAACAAAAAAATATTACAAACTTTGAGATTTGTAGACTGAAAAAAAACGTCAACTAAACATTGTTTTTTTTCTCTAAACTAACGTTAGAAAAATTCGAAATACAAAGGTAACTTCTACACCCTGTATCTCCGAAACGAAGCATTTTAGAATAGAATATAATACGAACTATTTCACTTATTTTATGTGCAGAATATGCTGCCAAAGTTTCCTGAATGCAATTTGGACCATCCTGTATAATGAGAGTTCTCGAAATTTATCGCCATGTCAGTCGTCACATGACATATGCCAAAATTATTTATCTTATTATTGGATATGCTAAAGAAATTCCGCATAAACTATTTTTCAAAAATTGTAATATTTTTTCTTCATCTGTTGGTGGGCGAACTTTTTGGTAAATCCTGTATATAAAATTTTAAAAAAATGCAAAACTTATATCTTTTCTTTTGATGCTGATTATGTTCGTACACAATAATAAATAAATGTGGAGAATAGTGGTCTGACTGAAAGTTTGTAATATTTTTTGTTATATTTTCTTTAAAAAATTCACACAATAATTCAGCTTTGAAATGATTTAAATGATCTTCTTTTTGTGAAATTAAAAAAAAATATTTTTACTAAATTTTTAAATCACTTTTGTTATATAGAAACACAACTGAATATCTATAAAAAATATAGTATACAGGGTGGCGCACCTCATTCGCCTCGGTTGATTATACGAAAACGGAAAGATGTAGAAACAAAATATTTTATGGGTATATGTGGGGAGGCAATGTGCACAATTTAAAATTATTTTGAAATATACAGAGTGTTTCCGAACTAAGATCCATACCAAAATTATATTTTTTCTTATAAAACACACACCCGGTATTTTATCCGGGTGTGTGTTTTATAAGAAAAGATCCGTTTCTTTGTCCCAAAAAAGGCATTTATTATAAGGGTTAAAAATGTTTAAAATCTTTAGTTTTTGAGATATTTAAAGATATTTAAATTTGCATGCTATAATAGAATAGATTATTAACACCCTGTACATTACTTTTCAGAATTAATTCTTGTGCTGAGTTTAAAGGTAAAGAAATAAACTTTACAGAAAAATGGCACTGCTACCTTAAATTTATACAGGGGTATCAAAAATTGCTGATCTATTTTAAGGATTTATTTTATATAAAAACTTTTTATATAAAAACCTGTTAGACAGAAACCTGAGGTTGGAAGTGAAATAAATTATTATGCCGTAATTGTCTCTTTTATAGAAACTCCATATACAGGGTGTTTCAAAACAAATGCGAAAAACTTCAGGGGGTGATTCCTTGTTCAAAATAAAGGGAAGTTTGCTTTATAAACGTTGGGTCAAAAGTCAACAATTAGGGAGATATCGCGGTACAAAGATGGCGGAAAAATAATGTTTTTATTTTTTATCTTGAAAACGAAAAGAGATAGACTAATGAAATTTTATGGAAGCATTACTGTTATGAAAACACACTTTCTGGTAATTTTTTCACTTTTTTAAAATGAGTGGAAGGTGTTGAAATAAACTACCCCTATCATTCTTGTTAACGAAATTTAAAGAAAAATCTTATCAAACACATACAAAAAAATTAATTTGGATAGTTTAGTTTGTTTAGAAACTTTTTTATCTCTTGTGTTTTTTTGATAAAACTCACCGATTTGAAATTAAAAAATAAAATGTAAAGTATTACATGTCAGGACAAAAAAAAAATTTAGATTAAGAATCTAGTGATAATAACGATAATAATAATCATCTAGATAATAACCTATTGCAGTAGAGTAATGTCAAATAAAATAATATTAGAAACATCCTAAAAAGTAACAGCGGCCGACTAGATTTTTTCCTAAAAAAATTACAGCAGCCCACTAGATTCTTTATCAGAAAATGTTTTTTGTCCTGACATGTAATGCTTTACATTTTATTTTTTAATTTCAAATCGGTGAGTTTTATCAAAAAAATACAAGAGATAAAAAAGTTTCTAAACAAACTAAACTATCCAGATTAATTTTTTGCATGTGTTTGATAAGATTTTTCTTTAAATTTCGTTAACAAGAATGATAGAGGTAGTTTATTTCAACCCCTTCCACTCATTTTAAAAAGTGAAAAAATTACCAGAAAGGGTGTTTTCATAACAGTAATGCTTCCATAAAATTTCATTAGTCTATCTCTTTTCGTTTTCAAGATAAAAAATAAAAACATTATTTTTCCGCCATCTTTGTACCGCGATATCTCCCTAATGGTTGACTTTTGACCCAACGTTTATGAAGCAAACTACCCTTTATTTTGAACAAGGAATCACCCCCTGAAGTTTTTCGCATTTGTTTTGAAACACCCTGTATATACAATTCATCGTAAAATAAATCAAAGAACTACCTACTTCTCCGTTTTTCTTGATAGAATAATAAGTACGTATTTAATAAATATTATTTATTAAACTGTTGTAGGTAAATAAAATAAAAGTAAACAGGTATAAATTTAAATAAGTTCATAAACTAATTTCAAATTTGAAAATAGCTACTAACTGTCACTAAAAACTTGCCATGACGACATCAGCCCTCTTTGTTGCCATTTTATTGAAAAATTGCTCTTTATTCAAAATGTGAGCTAGATAGGTATAGGAAACACTAATAGAGTTTGAAAGAGCATTTAAATCTGCTTCGATTTATTATAAAAAATATAGGGTGTTGTATTTGAAATAACGAAGTTTTTATGTAAAATAAATCCTTAAAATACATCAGCAATTTATGATACCCCTGTATAAATTTAAGGAAGCAATAACATTTTCCAGTAAAGTTTATTTCTCTAACTTTAAACTCAGCACAATAATTAATTCTAAAAAGTAATGTACAGGGTGTTAATAAACTATTCTATTATAGCATGCAAATTTAAATATCTTTAAATATCTCAAAAACTAAAGATTTTAAACATATTTAACCCTTATAATAAATACCTTTTTTGGGACAAAGAAACTAAAAACGAAATAAAATACCGGGTGTTCCATAAGAAAAAATATAACTTTGGTATGAATCTTAGTTCTGAAACACCCTGTATATTTCAAAATAATTTTAAATTGTGCCACATTGCCTCCCCACATATACCCATAAAATAGTTTGTTTCTACATTTTTCCGTTTTCGTATAATCAACCGAGGCGAATGAGGTGCGCCACTCTGTATATGAGAACATTGTAAGATGTGATATAAAAAAACGAAGTTGTAGTGGTGATAGAAATGCATTTTAGTTTTAGATTTCCCTATGTCAGTCGCTAGTTCGCTAAGTTTTATAATGTGACAACTGATCATAATATCGATGATTTTCAAACAATGTTATAGGAACTATAGTCTGTCCAGCGAGGGAATATAGGTTTTTGACAAACGACATCTAAAAAAGTTTTATCTACTTTTAAATTAAAATGGCATGCTACAACTGTCTCTGTCATAAATTCTTTCGTTGGACAAACTATATTTACATTTTTATATTGTAGTTTATATATTTGACAGATATTTCAAATAAATGACGTTTAGCTGTCGATTTCACGATAGACGTAGTAAAGCTCGATCAAAAATGGCATTTCTAGGCTTATTGTGACGTTGTTTTAATTTTATCACATTATATAGGTACTGTATGATTGAAAAAAAAATGACGTCAGAGTGGCCTTTAAAATGATAATCGATGATATTTATCAATTGTCATTTCATTGGCTATCGACGCCATTATTTTTTCGATTGATATATATATAGTTTATCAGTTTCAAAAATCGAAGTTCGGTTTAATACGGATCTGAAAACAAAATCAAATTAATATTGTAGATGCCTTCATTGTGCCTTAAATTTAGTGTCTTTCCTTCTATGAATTAGAAATAAAATGTTCATCTATTTTACCGAATATTTAAAATTTGACAAGCAAAAATGTTGTACCGTGATTTATAGATTGTTATTCTCAAAGAAATATGTTTTGATTGATTTTGGATGTGATTGCACTGCCCCTACTTTTTGAATTGATGACGGAAAAAGAATTGTTGCCACGAAATGTACTATTACAATATTATATTATTTAAAAACAACGTGTAGGTCTTATAGTTGTAAAAAAATTAACTTATTTGATAATATATCTGGTGGCGAAAATTTGAAATAACTACAATCATAATTATTACCAAATTTTCACCACTTAACCAATGCTGTGTTAGAATTATTAATTATATTTTTTGCTCATTATATTTTGCTTAAGATATTTATTTGTTATTTCTTATAGAGAGATGAGCCACATTTTTTGTTTTTTTTTGGTTATTATCATCCATGAACGTTATTTTAGGCCTTAGTTAAGTAATTATTATAGAATATGATTTTTTCTAGTCTATCATTGTCTCGTTTTTAATTTAAAATAATGTGTTGTCTTTTTACAATATTTTTTTTGGTTCCTTAGACAAAATATAAAAAACGGTTCTGGCAAATATGCCCATTATTATATATAAATATATATATTTACTAATATTTAGTTTAAAATTATTGTAAATGTGTGTAAATAAATTATATTTTTGAAAACTATCTAGATTTGTTATTTTCCTAATAAAATTAACAACATTTATTCTCTTTTGACTCCCCTTGTATGCACCAAATACTCCAAACAGTCTAGTTTGTACCTATTCTCTGGCCTAGCCTATTTTAGTATGCTTAGTTTTGAAGAAGACATCATCTTATAATATATACTTCAAGTTTAAAAAGAAAAAAAATGCAGTATTATAATTATTTTGAGAACTTATATTTCAAAAACCACTTGGTACGGATTATTCTTACTATGGTCAAATGGTATTTTTTAGAATGGTTATTCACCCTGTATATCTGTGATATTTACTTAAATGTGCCCTACTATTGCCCATATAATTAATAACAAAGTTGAAGAGTAAAAATCTCAAATACGAAACTTGATATCAAGCATTTTTGAGACACTGGGTCTCAAATGTTTTCATTTATATCATTGAATGGATTTTTGATGATAAATATCGATATTTTCAATAACGCCCCATCACTACTTAATTGACCAAAATAAACCACCACGCAAGCGCATAACCTACATAACAAAATCATATGTTAACTACGCCTTCTTTTATAAACTGTCTCTATCATTGCCAATGTATTAAAAAGTGATAGATAGAGTTACGTATGTCAATGAATCATGTTCGATGACAGTGACAGTTGACAAAGGGGCGTTCAGTACAACTCGACATAAAAATAAAGAAGACGCCATTTTGTTATTTTAATAGAGAATTTTCTGATTTTATCAATATTTATTCCAAGCATCTTCAAACAAATTCAGCCTAATTTAGAAAGAAAGTGTCTGTGATACGTGTAGTCGGTTACGCCGAACGGTATTTTTGCAGTGATATGCACTAGTGTCTAAAAACAATTTAGTTTTAAATTAGTTCTCTCGAAGAAGTAGGAAAACCTTCAGAATGAGTACAAAGGATGATGAATACGACTACTTGTTCAAAGGTAACGACGCAGTTAATATCTTAAAATCAATTATATTTGTTTTTGTTTCAAGTTTTTTGTTCTACGAAACTGACAGCTCATCAAAAGTGTATGTATTTAGGATTTATTTGTATTAATATTTCTACTCTGTTTGATTTTATTGATGACTGTTTGTTTCAAGTTTCCTTCTCTAACATTAAGAATGTTAATTTTTTCCTGGTTGAAGACATAATTGCGATGTTTCGTATTTTAATAAACTGTACTCTATTCATTACTTGAATCACAATGAATGTAATCTATGTCACGAATTGAATACATTATCTAGTTCTGTACTGAATTTTCCAGTTTTTCTAGTAGAGCAATGCATTTTAAAATCGATTCTATTTTTAGTTGTGCTCATTGGAGATTCTGGCGTGGGAAAAAGTAACTTGTTATCCAGGTTTACAAGAAATGAATTCAATTTAGAGTCAAAGTCTACAATAGGAGTCGAATTTGCGACGCGTAGTATACAAGTGAGTTTTTTTTCCAGATTTTTATGCTATCCAGCTTTTTTAATAACGGATTTGAAAATGCCTTTTTGTGTTTGTATAAATCCACTTAATGTTTATGTTTGTAGCAAGTTTTTTTTAGAAATTGACCTAATTTTTTTGACAGCATGTATTTAATAGAATAAAACTGATTAAGATGCTTTAAAAAGGTTTCTTATAAAATAGTCGTAGTTACTACATGAGATATAGATATTTTGTTTAAAATATATTGTTGTTCCAATGGTTTATTTTAAAATTAAAAGAAAACTTATTACGTTATGTTGTATGTCCATTGTCTTTATTAGTAGAATGATAGAAATAAATGGTTTTTAGGTAGATGGTAAGACAATCAAGGCCCAAATATGGGACACTGCTGGTCAGGAAAGGTACAGAGCCATCACGGCAGCTTATTACAGAGGCGCTGTGGGAGCACTTTTAGTTTACGATATTGCTAAGCACTTAACCTATGAAAATGTAGAAAGGTTAGTAACCATTCATGATTTCTAACTAACAAGAACTTCATTACAAATTTTTCTTTAAATTATTACATTTCCCTGTATCATTAATTTGCTGATGATCTTTGCAGATGGCTTCGTGAATTGAGGGATCATGCCGACCAGAACATTGTGATAATGTTGGTGGGCAATAAATCGGATTTGAGGCACTTGAGGGCTGTCTTAACAGACGAAGCCAAGGCCTTTGCTGAAAGGAACGGCCTCAGCTTCATTGAAACCTCAGCTTTGGACTCGACAAATGTTGACTTGGCTTTCCAGAATATACTCACAGGTAAGAATAGCATTTAGCACAAATTAGGGATGGGATGTTTAAAATTATTGTTATTTTTAAAATCAATATTCACATTTTAAGTATTGATGCCAACATTTTTAACAGCGATACCGACATTTAAATTAATACCAACATATTTAACATCAATGTCAATGTTGTTCACATTGAACCCAACGTATAGACATTTTTAACACCGTGTTAATATTTTTAACGCCCATATCGATCTTTTTAACGCCCATATCGATCTTTTTAACGCCCATGTCGGAATTTTTAACGCCCATATCGACATTTTTAACGCCCATATCGACATTTTTAACGCCCATATCCACATTTTTAACACCGATATCGACATTTTGAACATTGATGTGTATCGAAATACTCCAGAAAGCCCCTTCACTCTGTCAAAGTGTGAATATAATGTGTATTTAACATCTTATCCTTTTTATTAAACACAACAAATTGAAGATTGTCTACTATGCGGTGTTGTCAAGTTAAGGGATTTTTGTTGTACTGGCGGTCATCCATAACGTTTCGTCGCAACTAAAGAACCTCTATAATATTGTTTACTCTATTACAGAGGTTCTTTAATTGCGACGTTGCCAAGTGAAACCAGTTTTCCCAAATTTAGTGGGTTTTGTTCTACTTTATTTTGGTTTATTACAGAAATCTACAGAATCGTTTCGCAGAAACAGATCAGGGATCCGCCAGAGGGAGACACTATCCGCCCGCAAAACGTCGAACAGATCGACGTGAAACCCACCATGAACACGGACAGCGTCCGCAGACAGTGTTGCCAGTAGTTAAATGTACCCTTAGCAATATTGTCTTTGTATGCAAGAACACACAGGTTTGATATTTCTTTATTAAATATCTTGGTATGAATTGTTTTGATTAATTTTAAATATATATTGATTATTTTTTCCATTCAATTAATTTCAATTAAAATAAACTTGATAGTTTTTTGACAGATTTTGACATTGAAACTCGTTTTAACATCTAGTATTTTAATTGATAGGTAAATTGCATGTTATTTGCATATTTAAATTGTTTCATATTAAATATTTCTTAAAATAGTCATGTTTTTATACATTTACCTATGTCAGACCCATTGTTATTAAATTTTGCAACCAATTTGATTGTTTTAAAAATAAGTGTCTATGATTAATTTTAAATCTATTTTCTTTTGTAATAAGGCATTTAGCTAACATAGCTTAGTAATACCTGCCTACTACTTAAATAATTGTGATAAGATGTTTTTTAAACTCTATAAGTATGGTGAATCATTAGGTAAAACAATAAATGACTCATATTACAATTATCATTAAACTTATGTAAGTTTATCTATTTTTGTGAATATTACTTGTTTTAGAAAAATAATAAGACATAAGATTCATTTCTTCATTCTGATAATTTTATATTAATTAAAATGTTACTTATATTGATAATAGTTACTTATCAACTTTCAATTGAAAAAAAGGCATCACAGTGGTTGTTAGCGCCTTCGATAGCTCTGGTTCCGAGTGTCCTTCGATATACTTGCCCTTGTTCCGATATACTTGCCCTTACTAGCGGCGGCTAGGTTGAATAACATTGACACATTAAATTTTCAATTACTGTATTGAAAGAAAATTATAAAAATGGAAACGTGATTATGTAACTATAATAATTGCAGTCTTATTTCAGTCTGTCTTTTTCTTCTGTCAACCGGCACAGGGTCACCCGCGTTGCCACTTCCTCGCGCGGGTGCCACTTCTTATATATGATTATGTCATATCCTTAACTGTGGTCAGTGGCATCAATAAACAAATAAATTGCAGCGTATTTTAGTCAACAATAAAGAGGTTTTTTTCCACCGTCCATTTATTAATAGTGTTTTAGATCTGAAGTATTATTTTTTCTAAATGACATTTCACATAATTGCTAAAACAATACACTAATGCTAAAACCTTCTGTTCGGCAAATGATATTTTTGACATAAAATTAAAATTCTTTAAGTGTTGAAGCCAATGGCTAAAGAATAAAAAGACTAATAACACCCTAGACCAAATTGTTACCATACTTCCAAACAGTGCCGTGGCACATATTTTTCTTAATATAGCTGCTTAAAGAGATATTTATATTTTTGATAAATATTTTGACTACGCCTATGGTGTATGCGGTGGTATCGTACTAATTAAATATGAAAAAAACATATTAAAATGTTAACAAAAGGTACAAAACTAGTGTCGACGTATAGCACATATCAAGTACATATAATGTCAGAAAAGTAATTATGGATTTCAACAAAAATGTAACTCCTGTCTCTTTCTTATCGCTGCGGCTTTTGCACTTGAAAGTTGAATAACTAATCACCATAGCAAAATAAAAAACTAAATCACCACAATACACCAAAACACTTTTACACTGGACGCGCATTTGGCTAACCATGTTAGCATCATCAGCAGATGAGTATAAACTGACTCAGTTTATACTCATCTGCTGATGATGCTAACATGGTTAGCGAAACGCGCGTCCAGTGTAAAAGTAAAAGTGCTTTGGTGTATTGTGGTGATTTAGTTTTTTTATTTTGCTGTGTAACACCAAAGGTTCCAACCTTCAACTGTAATAATCACCATTATAATAAAGTTTATACAAACTTCACTACACACAAACTACTAAAAATCCCTAGAATTGGCGCTGATGTTTCATTCTTTACTTCCAGAAAAAATGGTGACTAACTACAAATTCTGCTGCAACCCATATATGGGCATTACATGTCCTTGTATTTTTTAGTCATTGGTTGAAGCTTAGATATCAGAACATTATAACCAGTGACGTGCACATAATTTAGGCGCAAAAAGGCGTTGCCTACCCCAGACAAAATCATATTTTTTTTTATATCATTGTATTATAACTCGTTACTAATCCAGCAAATATTCACAGTAACCATTTTTTATCTTACCTTTATTCTAGTGTATATTTAGAGTTATTCAGAATTTATTTTATTCTGGTATATTTAAATTATTTTTGACTACACGCGCAATAGCAAAATTCTCAAAATATTTCCTATAAAGGCGCTCTCTTATAAAAATATGATTTACGTAAAGGCAGAATTTTTTTTGGTCTGAATCAACCAACAATTTGTTTTGTATTGTCGCTAGTGGGCAGGGGTGGATGGGCCATATGGGAAAACGGGAAAATTCCCGGTAGGCCGGTGGAAAGATCCGTAGGTCGGTGGCCGGTGGCCGGTGGGCCGGTCCCGATCAGAGTTCGAAAAAGATTGGATTAGCAAAAATTATATGGTTAATCTTCTAACTAAAGTGACGTAAGATCCTTAGTGACTCCATAACTAACTAATCAATTTGCGTCAGTACAATCGTCAGTTGCTTTTAAACATAAACACCAATTTGTAAAATGTCTTTCTCTGAGACACTCATAATTTTAATAATCATCTGTTGTTTGTTCGGTTTGAAAATTTTTATTATACAAGGTGAGTATATAAGTGCAAATATTTTCAGGGCTGGTAGATCTCAATAAAATAAACATAATATATTCTCTTTATCGAGTTTCAAATAATTCCAATTATCAATAGGTTATTAAAGTTTGGAAATTAAAAAAAAAACATTATTTTTAAAAAAAATTGAGCCACCTCAATTTTTTACTATTTGCATCTCTTTTAGTGCCGTAATATCAGAGATTAAGAAACTATACCGTGGGAAAGTTTGCGGTGAACAGGAAGTTCTAAAAAGTTTTCTAAAATATACAGGAAAATTTAATGCTCGATTTTTATCTTTTTTTGCAAAAAAAACCTCATAGACGTGTTCCTGGGGCCGAAATATACCACCCCTAAAAATATTTGCACTTATTTAAGACTCACCCTGTATAGTTTTACCCCACTATTCTTTTATTAATAACTAGTAAATATGACTGACTGGCAGCAAAAAAAAAAAGAATGAATAGCAGTAGGTAAATTTAAATAGTCTCGATCTAACTGTATACTAAGAATACAGTAGCGTAGATTGACAACTGGGGGCCTCGGTGCAATATTTTTCGAGCTCCCCTTTGTAAAAAGGTAGACGAATTGACGTTCTGCGGTTGACGGAGAAAACATATATATGTTTGGCTTGAATTGGGGACGGACTAAAGGCCAAGTCTGAAAACTACAAGCCAAGTCTAAATTGTTGTTTAAAATGTTGTTAAAATGAATTTGCTAAAAATTACTGAGACAGCAGAGAAGAGTTAAATAAGGTTTAAACTAGTTTAGATAATAAAATATTAATGTCTCGAAAATCCAAATATTCTTATTATGGACTGTGGACTGTAACATAGCATTACATCAGCATCAGAACACATTTATATCCACTGCCTAGGGATTTTTTCGTTTGAGTCATGGCATTATCATACAAGATGCCAAATGTAGAAAAGTATAGAGGAAAAGTTCTGTGATAAGAACTACCGTATAGTCGAATAAAAACGGCGTCAGCGATGGCTATGAAATGAAGATCGCTGTCATTTTATATGTAAAATTATAATGGAAATGTCATCGATCGTTATTTCCAAGTCAACTGGACGCCATTTTTTTTCGATCATACGGTATATAATAACCTAAAAAATGCTGCAGTTTTAATGGCGACCGCGGTTCATCCAGTTAAAAACAGGTGAATACGAGGAGGCTGCTGCTGTAGCAGAAAAGAGAGAATTTCTTTCTACAATGTGTCAGAAAGTATATACCCGAAAAGCTAAAAGTAATGTATTTTACAGAGGATTGGGTCAGCTGAACTGAATGAAACAGGAAGTTCAAAGTTCAAAATCGTAGCCTATTCAAGATCATATTATCGTTATCGATAATGGAAATAAAGCAGTAGAACCCTGTAAAACTGAGCCATTTCGTAGTAAAAATTCAGATGTCCGACCCAATATTGGTCTTTATGAAAATTTTGATCAAGACGATTTATTTTTTTTAACCGGAGGGAAAAGAGCTTTTTCGCACGAGCGAAAAACACCCTTACTTATATATTAATAAATAAAATATGTTTCTTCGTTATGGTCATTTTATTTTTGTGGATTTGGGCCGGTTGCCTATTTTTCCCGGGCTGGTTTCCACTTCCCCATCCACCCCTGCTAGTGGGATATTAAAGCCTGCGCCTTTGCGAATCTTCAGGTGCGTTGACACCGCGCAAATCATTTTTTTAACATATACTTTTGTGCGCGCTAAAAAAATACTTTAAAAGTACATGCTAAAAAACGTTTTGTACGGCGCGGCGCAGCCGGTGTGAACGCACCTGTCCACATAATCTATCGACAGCGATGACTTGAAGACTGATTTGTTGCAAGTAAAACATATCCGTGCGGTGTAGGCCGCTGTCCTGGGCAGTACTGCCAAATTGCTTTTTCACAATTTAGTGTAAAAAATAATTATACAGGGTGTTCCAGAAATAAGTGCAAATATTTTAACTGGTAGTATAGTTCAACCCTAGAAACACGCCTATGAGGTTTTTTCGCGAAAAAAAAATTTGAAAAATCAAAATTTTTTGAAAAATTTTTTGGATTTTTTTTTAGTTTTTAGTTAAAAAATATAATTTCTTGATAATATGGCAATATAGGTAGTAGACTAAATTTACAAGAAAGAAAATCCAGAAAAGATCAAGAGCAAAAAATCATTTTTTTGGAAATTTTCAAAGTAAAATATCTCCGTTATTTTGCACTTATTTGAAAAACGATAAAAAGAAAATATGTCCCTTTTATCGAGATCTACCACCCCTTAAAATATTTGCACTTATTTCTGGGACACCCTGTATTAATTACTTCATTATTACAACTTAGTATTTTACCGATGTTTGCCTACCCTGCTTTTATTAGCACTGCGCGCCATTGATTATACCCAAACTATAGTTAGAATTTCATGTAGAATCCAAAAAATCGCAAGCAATGACAACACACAATGTTAATGTAAGGTTAGGACTGATTTCTGAAGTATAAACCAGCCATAAATTAAGAATAAACAAATAATTTGGCCTGTTAGTGTGGGTTTACATGCATCCGTCATGCGTAGTTGTTCGTTGATATTGTCCAGTTTTATTGATTAATTTCAAAAATGACATATCATATTTGAACATGATAGGAGTGACGGAACTAGCCAAGACGGATGCGTATAAACTCACCTTTAGTGTAGGTTTATATGTATCCGTCTTACGTTGTTTGTCATTGATTTTATGCAGTCTTATTGATTTATTTCAAAAATTACAGCTCATACTCATTAATACAGGGTGGTCCGAACTGTATATTAAACAGGATTGGAGTGACGGAACGATGGACACATTATGGATGCATATAAACCAACGCTTAAAAAATTGTCAGTGTCACTTCTGTGTGGTTTTGGTAATGTTGTGTGTGAAGTATGAATCAACCATAAATGAAAGACTATGTTACAATATCAATAGGACTTGGTGTATTATTGTTGCATGTTCTGTGACTATGTTTCCTGATTAATTTCTGTATTTTGCAGATTTCATTTTGGTAGATAATGCAGCGGTTCGCCACTATATTCGTGGGTTATGTTCTCTCAACGTTTAGCAACAAGATATTAATGAATCAGCTTACACAGTATTGCTGGACATATACTACTACTACTACTACATAAATGGAATAAAACAATTATTAATGAATTATTAAAAAAGTATTTAAACAAACTAAGCTCTATATACATAATTTTGTTTCGGTTTTTTAATCTCTGGCAGACGGCACTGAATATGAAAGAAAGAATCCTAATATATTAGAGACTGCGTAGCTTTTATAAAATACATATTTTGTTTGGAAAATGTACAGGGTGCACCAAAAAGGTCGCTACAAATCTGAAATTTCTTTATTATTCGGATATTAAAAAAACGGTTTATGTGGACTTCTTCAGCTTATCCAAAATATATGTATATGTTATGATAAAGAGGAGCTGGCATGACATAATATGTCAAAATGATTAATTTTGTTATTGGGCAAGCCAAAATAATTCTGCATAACCTTTATTCCTATAACTGAATAATAAAAATGTTTACCATTTTAGGCGACCTTTTTGGTGCCCACTGTATATAAAAATTCCTATATTAAGTAGTTATAAATAAATAGCTAGATGAGATAAACATAGAGCAGAAGTAATATTTAATATATTAGGATACTATAAAGCCTGGTTATATATTATAATATGTATGTTATATAATAAATTCAATGCATTGTGATTATATTTGTAGTATAATTTTGAGGTGCATATTATTTATATTTATGTTGTTAGAAATATATTTGTAAATTTTAGTATATTAAACAAAGTACATCTGAAACAGGAAGTATTTTTCGTAGATTTCTCGTGGAAAAAAAAAACAACGTCGTAGTAGTCTTTGAAATGAAGATCTTAGAGAATTTGTCAGGCCAACAATTAAATGTCAGTTATTAACATTTGACATAAAAATTTGTCAAATTGGCCAAACAAAAGGAACCCAACAAATTACTGTTGATTGTCATTTAAAAGGCCAGTGCGACGCCGTTTTTATAGTAATTCTCGATTGTATGCTGTTTTGATCTTAACATATATTGAAGAAAACATTTTTTTAATTTGTGGGATTTCAAATTTTTTTAGGATTTTATTTTCTTCATTCTGTAATGGAAAAAAGCTTTTTGCTTGGAGATCGTTTTTAATATAAATTTAAGTGAAAAAAAAGAAGCAACATACTGTTAGTGTTATAATTTTTTGATCTAACTTAAGTATAAAAATATATATAGTGATTCATTTAAATAAAATATAATTTTACAAAAAAATATAGTTTTTTTAAAACCCCTGTATTTGTAGGTGGATCAAATAATTTGTAATTGAGATTGAGGGGCTTATTGTAATAGCACGGTAAGCCACTCAACCAGAAATCAGTTTTATTACCTAGTAACGTGTTTTTCTTCCTTTTTATCCAACAAATTTGTTAGATAAATACTTAGCGAGTTAAACTATACTAAAATGTATATTTATTAATAGTTAAATTTACACATTTTTTCAAAACTGCGAAGTCTAATTCAGAATTATGGATTTGTGGCATATCGTGTTAACGGAATAAACCCTTCGTTTGTGGTTTTTAACTATCGATATTATTATTATCGATAGTTCAGACCCATCCTTATCGATTTCTTGAGGGTGCAGCCACACTATCCTAAAAACGGCGTAATGACCTTGAATAGATTTCCAGTAATTCTATTGGCTGAAACATTCATCTGTCAGAAATTTTATCTGTCAAATTCATCTGTCAAAAATTTCAGCCAATAAAATTACTGGAAATCGATTCAAGGTCGTTACGCCGATACGCCGCTTTTAGGATAGTGTGGCTGCACCAAGGGCAAATAAGGGGCTGCACCCTGAATCGCTCATTCTTAAAAAAATAACCTCATTTTTCTGATGGCATTTAAATTTTTTAAACGTTTGAAGTTTCAAAACATTTAAAATTTAAAAATCTGAAAAATGGAATTAAATAGTGATATAATAGGATTACAAGGTGTGATTTTAACAGTAAAATCTAAAATTGGTGAATTATCAAGTATAAATTACAGTGGAGGTAATATAAGTCAATTTGTTTTTCTTACTAAACTTTGCTTAACTAAAAAAAAATATCTTTTACAATTTCAGGAAATGAAGAAAAATTGAATGTGATAGTTGAGGAATTAAGAAAATACTTTACTAACAAAGGATATTACAAAGAATCTAAAATTAATGAGAAATCAACCAAGGAACTGAATAATTTGATATTTTTTCTGGCCCTAAACACGAGCTTCAAAAACCACCCAAATTTTGCTGAAAATCCCCATTTAATAAATATAATACCGCAATTGTCAAAATGTGTATTAGCAAATGTATGTTTTGACTTAAAATTATTTCCACAATATTGTTATTTAATTGAAAATATGCCTTTGGATCTCACACAAGAACTCTTAGATCAAATTATTGAATGCTTGAAGAAGACTAAACCAAGTGAATATCTTGAAATAGCATTCAGTTTGTTAAAGGCTGTTGTGAACAAATTGAGCAACGAAGAAATTTCAAACAAGGTATACTTTATGTAGGTACATCTGTAAAATCAATACAAATTATGTATTTTTTAGACTGAGGATACTATAGATGATATAATAATAGTAACCGGGTTAATTTTAAATAATTTGACTGGATTGTTCACTGATCAAATGGAAACAATGATTAAAAAACAAATCTATGTTCATATGGGGTTTACGTTATTAAAGTTATTAGATCTTCTACTTTATATAGATGAAAATATAGTTGCTTTAACGAAAATTGTGAATTCAGTCATATCAGTTACTTGTATTATTGTTAAATCTGTGACATTGGATATATTTTGTGAATGGGCTGAAGTAGAGTATATAGACCGCTCTTTGCAAGTTGTAGTGGCTGAAAAAGCTTATCACACAATTTCAAAGTATCAGAAATGTAAGTTAGCCTCAGAGTTAGTGAGTTTGTTAGGCAACATTGCTAGAAAACCAAAAACTTTGATGGAACAAATTCAAGAAGCCGATACAGAGACCATAATAAAGAGAATAAATGCAGAAGATGAAAATCAAAAAGCTTGGTTTAAGGCATTACTAAATACTTCGGTTTTTAATAATACTGATGCTTTAGAGTGTTTAAACAAATGGTGGATGTTATGTGATGAAAGTGATGTTGATAGATTATTAAGTTTACCAAAAAATACTCAAAATAAAGGGCTTATCCTAAAATGTGCAGGAAATCTTCAACTTGATGGCTTAAAGCGCATTTTAACCATATATTTTCACAGACAAAAATTTATTTGGAAAGAGGACATACAAAACGAAACAACGCTCCTGTTTAATCAACATCAAAATGATTTTAGTGAACAAGATTTAAAGAATATTCTTCTCCTGATATTACAAAATGCAGAATTATTTTTTAAGCATTTCTACACTGCCGCTTTCAATACAAATTTAAGTGTTTATAACAAAGTATTTGAAATCACAAATGAGATTATAAAAATAGATCATGTAGGTATAAATATTATATGGAAAGTGTTGGAAGAGAATGAACCAAAGTGTGAAAACATTAATAAATATATAAATTTTATTGAGAATTTGTTACATACTCAGTGTTATACTTGGGATTATATAGTATCTAATATAATTTTAAGGTTGATTAACAAACATAAAGTGAGTACAGGCTCCTTGGAAGGACTTAGTTCAAGTTTGACAATATTTAAAGTAAGTAAACAGTAGTTATTTTTGTTTAAAGAAAGTTTTGTTTGGCGTGTTCTTAATTTGAGATAGGTCATATACAATTTTTTAAATGGCGATAACTATTCTTATTAATTCCTAGTTAATTTCCATAAAAAAGTTTCATTTATTGAATTAATTCTTATTTAGGGAGAGTCACTTTGTATACTATAGTAAATTATTTTTATTTTATTTTAGCATTTTTCACATTTATCCTGCGAATTTACAAGGGAATTAGAATTATTTGAATTTATCTTAATATGTGCCTCAGAATACCGCTGTAAATCCTTTGTAGATTTTAACAGTGCAAATGAAGAAGTAACAAGACATTGCATTGATTACATTCTACAAAAATGTCGATATTTTAAAGAAAAAAGTTTCCACAAAGACCATGTTTCTATAATAGGTAAAGAGATATATTGTATTTTTTCACTGTTCAGTTTCCTAACATACAGTTTTTTTGTACTCCCACTGGAAAAAAATGAAAAATAGCGAGTAAATTGTTTATTTGGGATTTCATGTACATTAACTTTTGGTTGGTTTAGTTTGCTTTGCTTTAGTTTTTTATGAATTTTGTAAGCTAAATAATGTTATTTGAATTCATTATTTGTCCTATTTAAGTGTTACTAAAATTGCATAAATAGGTACAACAGCAAGATCCAAATAAATTTTTCAAAAATTGAGTTAAATATTGTTTGTTGAGTTTCGCCACTATCAGAGCATTATTTATTTACTTGAACTCCGTTTTTATTTAAATAAAATAATTTGTTTCTTCAGTGCGGTACTTAAAAACCGTGACTATCCTAGAGGTTTGGCAGTGACAGTTGTCGTCTGTCATTTTTTTCTCTATTGAACTGTCGTTGACAGTTTTATTTTTATGTTGAAGGGCACCACTTAGATGATCCCTGGTCAAACTATTACAAAAGTTCAGCTTTTGCGAATGAACATTCAACATTGTTGAATTACATCATTCCAAATTTTGAGTTGTCTTGTTACACAGAAGGCAAGGCTGACCAGAACTTCTCAAGCTTGATAAAGGTAAGATTGTCATAGAAATAAGTAAATGTAGAAATATTAAAACATAAAAGATTTTTCGCCACATTTTTTATTGAAATCTAGTAACATCATTAAAACCCCAATGACCTAAAGCCAAGAACACAACACTAACAATCACAGATGTTTACGTCTTGCAGTGTTGCCACATTTTACGGCTAAATGGGAGGGTTATTCTTTTTAAACCACTTAAGTCAATTTTCTACAACTCATTTTATTTTTTCTTCAAAATCTATATATTAACTGGTCACTTATGCGGAGAAATTGTTCTAGGTTTTACCAAAATGCGCAACACCAGAATGGGAAATAATTTTAAAAGAAATGAGTGATAAGTGGGGATTTTCTATCACTTTAAAAGCTTTGACTGATATTTTAATACTACTTTGCGAAGTCACAAATCAGTCTAAAAGTGAAGAAAAACCACAACACTTAACTGTAGCCCTGAAATTTTGCCTTCAAATGTTCGGGAAATTCCTACAATCGGTAAGTAATCAGTGAAATAAAACATTTTTGGACCGATTTTTCTGATCATTTTATAAAAAAAGTTTATACAGGATGTGCCAAAAAATTTGTAACAAATAGGAACATTTTTTATGATTTTATGAGAAGTTATTAAAAAGAAACTTTATTTCTTTAATATGATCAGTAAAAAATGCGCGGCGGTATATTACAAAAATCCATATATGCCAAAAATGTGATTGACAAAATATCGAAAAATGTCAAATGGATATGTATCAGTTTAAAAACAGTAACACACGGCTTTTACATTAAGTCTTTTTATAAAATAATCAGCAAATTCACTCTCTAAATGCATTTACCTTACTCAGGAAACCCTGTTTTTTTTTCAACACTCTACACAGAATATATTTTAGCAAGCAAAGAACAAACAAGAGCAGATATTAGCCATACAAAACTTGTGTAGACTTTTGAAACATCTACCAGAAGTTTTGAAACAGACGGAAGGAATATACTTGATAAATATTTTACCACAAGAGGCTTACAAAGATTTGGCGCAAGACAAGGATTTCATTGCTAGAATAGTTTTAATAAACGATAAACAAGTTTGTAAAGTGTTAGCTGAGAAAATATTGCAAAAATAATAAAAAAATTTTGAAAATTTCTTATTTATTTCTCGCCAGCCATGAAAACTTTCCTCCTAAGTTTGGATATTTTATATAACATCACACTATTTAACGAAAAAGAAGGCACAAAGAAGTTTTTTTCAAAAATATATTTATTTAAACAAAAATTCAAAAATGGAAAAATATTAGTTCAAATGTCCAACTTCTTTCATGTTACTGGTTACTGACTTATAGTTAACACCGTACGAATGCTGAAAAATATTTTTTATAGCATAAATAAACACAAAAGAAAGATACAATATTACCTCTTTCCAGTGTGCATGAGATGAAAAGCTTCATTGATTTCATTCCAAGGTAAATTATGAGACACAAATTCATCCAGTTTTAGTTTCTTGGATAAATAATCTTCAACCAATTTTGGGACGCTGTCTATACTTTTCCAGCCTGTAAAAAATATCGAGTAGTACTAAATTTACAATAACGTTTTTTCGGTGATTTAGGCATTTTGTTTTGGATAATTTTATTTCATGGTTCAAGTAAAAATTCCGAGTACAAGAGAAACCTAACCTCCAAAAGCTGTTCCTTTCCAAACTCTGCCAGTGACCAGTTGGAATGGTCTTGTACTGATTTCCTGTCCTGCTCCTGCCACTCCGACTATTGTAGACACACCCCAACCTTTATGACACGCCTCTAAAGCTTGTCTCATGGTTACAACATTCCCCACACATTCGAAAGTGTAATCAAGACCACCATCTGTTAATTCAACCAAAACCTCTTGGATGGGTTTTTCGTGTTCTTTTGGGTTGACGAATTCAGTAAATCCAAATTTCTTCGCTAAAATATTGTATTATAGGGTAGAGTCGATAAAAAAAACGGTAGAGTATACTTTGTAATGATAATTAATGATAATTTACAGGCTTTATAGCTAGGTGCATTTCAACAATTTTTAGAATTGTCACAAATTATACTTCCTAATATCTTAGGATAGAATAATTATATAACGAATTATCTGCGTATATAAAATGCTAATGTTATCTGTCATCTCTACTGAAGTAACGACTTGCTCTAGAAAGTTGCCTTTTTTACTAAAAGATAGCTAATTGGCTCTTCTAAAAACTGTCGTCGCCGGATTTTTTGTTGATTGAACCTGTTGCTTCTCAAATTTCGCCTTTTCTTGGAATTTGCCCGTAAATTTTAAAAACTTTCAGTTTAATCTCCGTATATTAGCCACTTCCTATAATATTCAAGTTCTTCATATTTGTATGTTTTTAAGTTTACAGTAATTTCACTAATTTTAGTATTCTACATTCTACACAAAAAAAAATACAAAAATTAGATGATTTTACTCATATCAGTGTGCATCATTTGTAGAATACACAATTTTTTTAATTTTCAAATTAAAATTTAATTTTTATTTACATTGTCACCTAGATATAGTCTGTAAAACGAATAACTTTGAATTGCGGCCATGCTGACGCAATGCCGTCTCTAATAGAACAGCCTCGGAGCTAGATTTCTGACGTCACGCTAGTTAGATACTACGGATTAATAAATATGTTGTAGAATACACATGGAAAACATTCCTCGTATTTTTGGTTACATTAATTATGGCTGAAATCGCACTGCATAGTCAATGTAGATAGTTTTAGTGTTAAGAATAATAATTTTAAAAAATGTGTGGTCATCTTTTAACAAGTTTATATTAATTTGTTAATATTAATTAATTGCAGTAAATATTATGTGGTGTTAGGTTAGGTTGTAAATATTTTATATGTAATTTTTTGGATTATATTCGACACTATTTTTTTCATATGACACAACACTGATGAAGGCTATGTTAGCCGAAACATTTTTTTAAACCAAAAAAAAATAATGAAAAACCAAATGAAAACTAAATCAGCGTTTTCCCGAACCTAATTCCCAAAAAAATCAAAAATTTTAGAATAATTTTACATATAAAATGACAGCGATCTTTATTTCATAGCCATCGCTGACGCCTTTTTTTATGATATTGTATTATTTGCAAATATAATTTTTCAAACATTGATACTTGCAAAATATACATATAAATTTTGTGAATGCAAATAATAATACATCACTATTAGTAGATATTGAATGCTTTTTGTTAAATTAGATCGATTTTCAAACCCCAAAATGTATAATATATTCTACATTTTACCCATCATCTTATGTACCTATTCATTATATGTATATTGTAAAACATTTGCTGCATTTGTATGGTTCATAGTTTATTTGCCAAAATTTATTGCTATAAATAGGTATATAGATTATATTTATTAACTGTATATTATGTATATTTCATGTAAACTATATCATTTTTAAAATACAAACCAAAAAATACGAGGATTAATTATATTTTCCATGTATTCTACAACATTTTTATTAATCCGTAGTATCTAACTAGCGTGACGCCATAAATCTCGCTCCAAGGCTGTTCTATTAGAGACGGCATTGGTCTGATATTTAGAAATGTCAAAAGCTGATGACATTTTACTTTTGACACTTATTACATTTTGTGTTGATTTTCGCAAGAAAAGGAAGAACTGTCACTTGTTTTATTATGTTCCTTTTCTATTTCATGAAAGTAAAAAGAGTTACCTATCTGATTCGTTCAGGCACTCAATTTAAAGAATATCAGTAACTTTTTTGATAGAGGGATTTTATATTTGCCATGTTGGTAAAAAATAACGGTCAAAATTCAAAGTTATTCATTTTATAGACTATATACAGGGTGTAAATGAATAATTATTGCAAAACAATTTTAGGAATTTGAATTACATATTGGTGTTTATTATATATTTAATAAATTGGTATTTATACTGTTAGACTGTATGCTAAATTTGAAAAAAAAACAAAAAAATAAAAATAGCAAAGAGTTTTTATATGTTTTTTATCTATCCCCAAATACTTAATTAGAACTGTTCTATATAAAACCTTACCAGTTTCAAATTTATCAGGATTGAGGTCAATTCCGATGACTCTAGAAGCTCCAGCAGTTTGACAACCAAGCCCCACGGCAAGTCCCACTGCTCCTAAGCCCCAAACAGCGCAGGTGCTACCTTTTTCTACTTTGGCTGTGTTTAAAGCAGCACCATAGCCTGTGGGTACTCCACAGCCCAAAAGACATACTTTATCAAGAGGAGCTTGGGGATTTACCTAAAAAAAAAACGATTTTTATTAATTTCGTGAATATCTTGTATCGATTTTTTTCGTTTTCCGATGCACGTCATCAATCATATCGACATTGACACTAAAGTCTATAAACCTGACTAAATTAAATTTTGGCAAAAATGTTTAAATTTGTTGAATAATTTAAGATACCGAGCCGCTCTTCAGTTGACTTTATAGAGCAAATGTTTGTAAAAGATATTTTATTTAGATTAAAGCTGCAAAAATTAGTTTAAACCGAATTTTATTATCGCTATGTTGGTCACATTGCGCCGTTTTCAACAAGGTTGTCGTTCATTATTTGACAATAATTATCCTATTATGTCAGTCATTATTTTGTATAATATCGTGTTTTTGTTGAATCTCTGTGAGTAATTCTGTTTTTTTTGCATAGTTTCATAGTCTTTTTAAAAATTGTACTTTAAATGACAAACAGTTCTTTTAAGAACTATATTTCCGAGTTTTTGTGTTGCATTTCTTGAAACTGTATGTTGAAAATATGCCGAAGCATTTAAACAGTCGAAGCAAAGAGCTTGTAGCTTTCCTGATTAACTATTTTAAACGAGAACGTGACAATAAAGGCCCTTTATTACTCTCGACTGCAGTCAGAGAAGTAAGTTTGATTGATAAGCACATTACACCACTTTCAAAGTTATTTCTATGTTAGTTTTTATTAAATGCTGTGATTATTAGTTTGTGCATTAATAGCACCCCCTCTTACTTGTTATTACCACTTATGGCGTTGTAAGATGTACATCAATAAATAAATAACCCTTAATAACGCTTAGAATAATCTTCATAATGGACTAGTTTTTGCCAATGTAATAAGTAAAATAAGCTATAAAACAAATAAATCAATTAATTACTAAAATACTAGTTATTAAATTAAAAATAAAACGTAAAAATCTTTAAAAATGATATAATAAATATATATGTTTGTCACTTTTAAATTGAGATATATCATCTCATAAATCCATCACAATCTGGCAGCGCTGTCGCCATCGCTTGTCACTCAAAGTTGATCACGTGCATCGGAAATTGTTTTGCGATTACCATAGGCGTAAATTTTCTAGAAGCAAATGCTGCTTTACCAACGTCATTAGAGAACAACGGCCTACGGTCGAGTCGGCCGCTGCTGGCACGTATACGTAGACGTAAAGAATCTTTTACATGTATAAAAAATATAAGAAATGCGCATGCGTGCGTAAACATTTACGTGTTTTTAGTCTGTGCCGTTGTTCTCTACAGTCTTGTAATGGCAAAAAACAAGAGAGAAAAAGCAAAGCACTGGTCTTTTAACTGACTGACTGGCACGATGCGGCGGTCGACACTCCTATCTTTGTCTTTTATTCAATGGTTTACTATGAAATATACAGAGTGTCCCAATATTGCGTGGACTGGATAGAACTATATATACTATGTTAGTTTTGGAATAAAAATAAGTCCATTGGACTAAATTTACCTCTATACAAAAGTGCTTCGTTTATCCATTAGAGGGCATCAAATTAAATTTTAAAAAAATAAACACATTTTTTCATGTATTTTAAGAACCCTTAGCCCATTTTGAATGAGATCTTGGGCGTCTATGTTTTGCTAAGTGCTTTAACAATAGCTTTGCAGGCAGAGTTGCACGTAACATTTGACTTGGCGCCCTCTACAAGTAGGAGTCATATTGACATCAAAATCAAGTTTCTCATGTCAAAAAACTCCCAGACACCAATTTTCATCCAAATATTGACGTTACTTCAGAAATTATTTGGAAAAAATGGAAATAAAAAAGAAACTTCTACACCCTGTACCTCCGAAACTAAGCATTTTAGGACATAGGAACATTTATAAGAACTTTTTTACTTATTTTTATCTCCAGAATATGCTATTGAAGTTGCCGGAATACAGTTCGGACCACCCTGTATAATATCATAGTCTATATTAAGAATACCTTGATTTTCAAGATATATTAGGTAATTAAAAATATTCTTCCTCTCTTACAAACATGTTTTTTATTTGTAAAAATACTAAATTACGTTAGTATTTTTACAAATAAAAAAAACTTAAAATAACTTAAGTTAGAAGAATTAACCAAAACATAAACTTACTTTTGTAACAGATATATCAGCAACAACTGTATATTCACTGAATGTTGATGTACCCATAAAATGGTAGATGGATTGCCCTTTGCAGGTAAATCTAGATGTCCCATCAGGCATAACACCTCTACCTTGGGTTAATCTAATTTTCTGACACAGGTTGGTCTTGGGCGACTTGCAGAATTTACATTCTTTGCATTGAGGTACGTAGAGAGGTATTACATGGTCACCTAGATACACACGGTGTAAATAAATAAGTGCATAAAAATTTAGGAGGAAATTTGATTTATTGTGATTTTGGGTCACCCTATATAGCCAAATAACTTTGTAGATAGATGGGACAGATGTCAACGAATTAATTTTTTTGTGTACTTATTTATTTTAACATGTTCTAATTGAAACAATAAAAAAAAATTAATTTAACTGTATAGTTGATATGACTCACTCTGGACAAACAAGAAAAAATTCCATAGGTACTAATTTTTTTGTTAAATCCTACCTGGTTGAACATTAGTAACTCCTTCACCCACACTTTCTACAATTCCAGCTCCCTCGTGTCCTAAAATTACAGGGAATATTCCTTCCGGATCAGCCCCACTTAAAGTGTAAGCATCGGTATGGCAAACAGCTGTGTACAATATCTTGATTCTTACTTCGTGAGCTTTCGGGGGGGCCACTTCCACTGTCTCAAATTTAAGGTCTTCTTTAGGGCCCCATGCTATAGCTGCTTTGCATTGGATAACCTAAAAAAGTTTTAACATGAAATATACGCGAATGTTAATAATAAAGTAACAATTAACTTACTTGACCAACGGTAGACATCTTGTTATAGATTATTCTCAATTGTTAATATGTAATAATAAGCAATAATTGCGTTAAATGTATCCTTGAAAATATATCAATGGAGGAAAACAAGGAATTTAAAAATAGAATAAATTTTATGATAATTACTAGAATGATAAATATTTATGACTTATGGAAGCTATCAATGAATTATTTAACTTATTAAATGATAGTTATGAATATTAAAAAGATAAACGATGTAATAAAACAGCTGATAAAATTTTCAGTATTCCAAAATTCCAAACACAAAATAGTACTAACTTCACTTTATAGATGGCGCTCATTAAATTTTTATAGACATCGAATTATAGATTTCTTTTTTAATGGCTTTAGTTAAGATACTTCTGGATAGATGTCGCAAATATTTAACAGTTATAGAAATCTGTATCAAACCAAGTTTCACCACTTTCACATAGGGGTCGCCACAATCTAATTATTAAAGAAACCTATGCAACACATACTTTTACTACTTTCCTCTAGATGTCGCAGAGCGTTATTACAGATATCTATAACGTTCTTAGTTCAAACACTCTTCGTTTGGTGGCGCCACATTCATAATTAGTTTACAGAAACGCCACATATATTTTTTTGGCGCTTTAAACAGTTACCCGCTTTTTATTATAATTTAAAGGGATAACAATAGTTTAGGTAGCTTTACGTTTTATGAGGAATTTACTTAGCTATATTTTTAATTTAATTTCTGTAGCTATAAAGTTGAATAATTTTTGGTGATGACTTAAGCAAAAGCAGATTTTTTTTTAAAGTTGGGAAAATTATTGTACTTAAAAAAGATAAAAATAAAATATATATTACAATTTTGCTGGCGTTTTCGGCAAGGATTATGATAAATCAGTAAAAAAATAAATAAAAATATACATTTCATTTATTTACATATTCTAATATTTACAAAATTTAAGTTCTTAAATAATCTTATAATATTTATATAAAATAAGTACATATTATGTATACCTGTAAAAATACTATAATTAAGTTGATTTTTCACATATATTAGTAGGTTTCTATACTATATACATAAATCAGTATAAATAAATAATGAAACCAATATAGATTGTATCCCTTGATGGCTGTTTAGCTCATTTGATTATAGCAGAAAGTCACTATATATTTTGTTTAACTATTAATTATGAAGTTTTTCTCTAAGATAAAATTATTACTTAAATAATTCATTCTTATTATATCTTCGTTGTGTTAAAAACAATTGTCGTATAAAATGCCCTGTATGTTTAACTAATAACTATTTTAAAATTCTGATAATAAAAACTATAAAACTTGCTACTTATTACTAACACTGAATAAATTAAATATAGGAATATTAATCATTAAAGGCAACAAAAACGCTTTTGAGCATAAATTTCCAGTTTTAATGTATTTTCTAATTAAAAAGGCAAATAAATGTTATTTTAAATTAAAGTCAAAAATCTGTTCATAGTTGTGACAAATTATAAATTTTATAATTTAATAGTAAATCAGCATATTAGGTAATTTTATTAAATATAATTAAAAGCATTTTTTTCAAATTTTCTCTGTAAACTCTACTTTGTTATATTTTACCCTGCAGAAAAATAATATTTTTGTTATTTATTTTTAAAGTTAATAAATCGAATTTCAGTTTTATTTGTAAAGATATTACGAATTTATTGATAGTAATTATTATTTTTGTGTATAAATAAGTCATAGATAATAAGCAACAAAAATAGAGAAAAGTTGAATTTAAAATGCACATTTTTTTAATTATATTTTTTGGGGAATAAAGACGTTCTCAAAGTGTCTTCTTTATTGTTATGCTATAGCAGATAACTGATTATCATTCAAATGATTTAAGACATCATAGTCTCAACAACGAATATATACCGGATGATCGAATAAAAACGGCGTCAGCGATGGCTATGAAATGAACATCGATGACATTGCCCATATAAATTTACATAATGTAAAATGACAGCGATCTTCATTTCATAGCCATCGCTGACGCCGTTTATTTTCGATCATACGGTACATCAAAGTATTCATTATTGATACTAAATGCCCAATCAAAGATATTCATTACTGCTAATGAATACTTCATTTTATTCATTATTTAGTAAAGTACATTTCATAGTATCGCTATTACAATGAATACTGCGCGGATGTGTTACTTTTTACCGCTACTACTTTGTGTACTAAGTAAGTGCTATTAATAGTAATGAGTAATCAGAAACATTGCTGAGTAAAAGGCATTGCTGAATAATGAATACACAAAATAGTTATGTTTTTAAATAATAAGTAACACAATCAAATAAATAGAGAGCAGCATAATGTTTTGTGAACGTTCAAATTATTGCTTTATTAATTTCAAAAGTAATAACTGTCAACTTCATTCTTATTTTTTAAGTTGAAGCTGTTGAAGGTGTCAATAAGCTACGTTTCTTTATGACATTCGCCTTTTTAAAAACCATTTTTATCAACGAAATATTCGTTTAGATGAACAGTGTTATCGTTTTTTACCAAACCTGGAGGCAATATGGTACAAACTATTCAATAGCTGCAGTGCCCTCGCATCTTGTCTATCTTCTTTAAGATCTTCATGAACTAGCCTGTCCAAATTATGATTTTCTCGTTTTACTTCACTATTACTGGGAACTACAGGACTGCTTACTTCACTATTCTTGAGGTCCTTGGACAAATCAGAACCGCATTCGCTAATAAGCAGCAAAATCAGTCGTTTGGTCAAAGGATTGGATTCGATTTCCTTCATTTTGTTTAAGAATTCTTCTTCTGAAGTGTTCAGTTTCTTCAAAATACGATGTAGACGATTGTGCTCGTCCTGTTTTGAGGTGTTCATGAAGTCAATCAAAATACCGTGCACCTGTAATAAAATAATCAATATAAACGTGATATGAAAATGCTCCGTGCATTGAATATACAGGGTATATCCTAAAATGCTTAATTTCCGAGACAGGGTGTAGAAATTTCATTTTTATTTCGATTTTTTCAAAATAATTTCTGAAGTAGCGTCAATATTTGGATGAAAATTGGTATTTGGGAGTTTTTTGACATGAAAAATTTGATTTTGATGTCAATATGACTCCTATTTGCGTTTACATGTGTTTTCACTGTTTTGAAGGGTAATAACTTTTCGTCCGTACCTGTATAAAACTACTAAGTGAAGAAATATACATTTCCGTGGCTTTTTACGCAAAAAATATCTTTTGGTAAAAATCGCTACGAGCAACTGTTCTCAAGATATTTACAATGGAAATAGTCAATACATGTCATTATTGACTAAAAATAAACCGTTTAGTAGATAGTTATTTGACTAAAATGATAAATTTGGGAACTTCTTTTTTAATTAATTATAAATTTTTCTTCGAAGAAATGATGGCAAAACAGTTTCTGTTGAACTTTTGGCTCAAAAATACTTCAAATTTATGATTTCAGTCTAATGACTATAATTTAGTAACATGTTTAATTTATGTCATTGATGACAGGTATTGATAATTTCGATTTCAAATATCAAATATCTCGAGAACCATTATTCGTAGCGATTTTTACCAAGATACCTTTTTTACGTAAAAAAGCGTCGCAAATGTATATTTTTTACTCGTTAGTTTTATACAGGTATGGACGAAAAGTTATTACTCTTCAAACCAGTTAAAAAATCAAAATCAAATTTCTCATATCAAAAAACTCCAAGACACCAATTTTCATCCTAATATTGACGTTACTTCAGAACCTATTTGGAAAAAATCGAAATAAAATTGAAACTTCTACACCCTGTATCTCCGAAACTAAGCATTTTACGGCATAAATTTATACGAACGTTTTTAGTTATTTTTATGTGCAGAATATGCTGCCGAAGTTTCCGGAATACAGTTCGTACCACCCTGTATAGTATATACCGAGTGTGTTTCGACAGTGGCTCACCCCCTATAACGTTTTTATTTTTTCATATAAAAAAACGATATTTGGTATGAATATGACATAAATTAGGATTGGTTGACGAATTCACTTGTTTTTGGTCACTTCCTGCTTCATTGGAAATTACTACAACTTTTGATTTTTAAATGGCACCGTTCGGTATATTTGTACTTTATTCGACAGAAGATAACAATCTGAATAGAATGACATTTGACATTTTCGCTTTAAAAAAAATCGTATTTTAAATTGCAATCTAGAGTGCTATGGTTGTGTTAAAAGCGAGGTTAAAAGTATTAATTTTTAATCAAGGGGTCGTGGAAAAAGAATTTTGATCGTCTAATATTTTTCGGTTTTCGATTATTAAAAGATGTCCAAATTGTATTTTTAATCATATCTCAATTTTCTGAAATGAAACAAAGATGGCTCATTAGCATATTTGGGAAAAGCATTTTTTACGATTAATTTGGTATCCCACACTTGGTATTTCGGGTCAAATTGTCGTTATGAACCGCATGTTATAGTTTCAAATAAATCATATTATGCAAAAATATCAAAAGTTGACATGTGATATATTTCATTCTATTCAGAGTGTCATTTTCTATCAAATAAATTAGAAATACACCTTTGAATAAGAAGACTAAGGAAGGAGCATAATGCTATCCATGTATTCATGCATGGTGGGCGGAAAAAGCACTCTAGGGTGGGGATCCTTGACAGTTCTGTTTGACGATTCATTTGACACATTTGAATTTGATTTGAAATTTTGTGGATTTGTTAGTCTTTACGGAGCTTATTTTATGTTATTTATTATTTATTCTACTACTGATAGTTGTATAAAGGTAGTAAATCTAGATGGAAATTGTGGCAGAATTTAAATTAACAGTAACACTATTGCGATTTATCGAAAAAGACCCTAAAATAGTTGGTTGTGTAGCGTGCGGTAGATCTCGGCAAAAATCGAGTGAAATAATGGAACAACTTATCGCTAGTAAGTAACTATATAATATACATACGTGTAGTAAACCGATCATTTATGAAATTCACTTAAATTAACTAATTATATATTTTTTCTTGCATTTTTGCTTTTATTTACTATTTGTCAAAGATTAGATGTCAAAGATTTAGATACGTAAATTTGACTTACCTGCTTCAGTAGCGTATCGGATGTTTATGGTTATAAATAATTATTATAACTTATCTATTTTTATTAAAATTTTATATTTTTATAACAATTTTAATAACTACCAACATTTATTCACAACGTAAAATAAATTTTATAATCATTTACTAATAGACCAAATATTGTTTTTTCATCTGAAATTGATTTATATTGACCCAACATATAGAAGGAAAATGTAAACAAACAGTTTATTTATTTACGGTTATTCACATAATAATAAAAATATTACCTGTGTCGAATTGAGACTCAAAGATGGCAATTCTCGTAATTCGTAGTTAATTTCAGAGTGAGGTTGTCCGATATTTGTATTAAAAGTTTCTTGGTTGTATAGTTCTGGTTCAGTCTGTCCATCATCAGATGGCAATTGAGTCGATGAATCAAGGTTATCATTCAGTATTGCTGGATTAATCTATAAAGAAAGAGAATATCACTGAAATTATTATATGTAAAAGTAGTGTCTATTTGAACTAACTATATACAGTGTTATTACAGTTGTGGGTTGGAACCTTTGGTGTTACACAGAAAAATAAAACATTAAATCACCACAATACACCAAAACACTTTTACTTTTAGACTGGACGCGCATTTCGCTAACCATGTTAGCTTCATCAGCAGATGATTAAACTCAAAAAACTCAGTTTAATCATCTGCTGATGACGTAAATAGTAAAGTAAAAGTGTTTTGGTGTATTGTGGTGATTTAGTGTTTTATTTTGCTATATACAGTGTGTTTTAATGAAATGGAATATATTCCATAAAAATACATGGGAGCGTGTTAAAAGAAACCACCAGACTCAATGCATTTTTTGTTGCTCAATTTTTTTAACACATACTTTTTATACATGGTGTCTCATGTAACATTGGCCAATATGCCAACTCTCTTCAATACAAGACTCTGTATATTATTCAATTAAATAATGTCAAGGTGTATTACTGGTTGCATAACTGCATACTGCTAAAAAAATCGCAACGTGCATTGAGGAACCTGGCGCATTCGCCAGAAAGTAAAGAAAATTATAGAATTCTTTAGAAAAATCTAGAAACAATAGCCAGGGGGTATATAAGGCCCGCGCTTTGACAGTTGGACAAGTTTAAAGTTTGAAGTCTAAAGTCTGAGGATAGTCTGAAGTTTGAATAATACCGCGAAATACCGTTAGAGTAATAGTAGTTGCATAAGTTGTGTTGTAAATAGTATAAGTTGTGTGTACAGAGTGAAACAAATAAATTCGTTAAGTATTTTATCGTGAGTTTAAATAGTGGACCCACGGAATCCGTAACAATTGGTGTCGGAAGTGCGATTCAAGAGGATTTTAAGAAGAAATTAAGTGGATTGGAAGATTTTAGACCGAATCAGAGTATTTTTATGGTTGGTACAAGGGAGCAAGCGAAGAAAATGGAGGAAGTAAGCAAATTATTGGGCGATTTTATGGAGAATATGAGAAGAGAGAAAGAAGAGGAACAAGACCGCCTACAGAAAATACTTATGGAAAATCAAGAAAAAATGTTAGAAGGTTTAGAAGCGCGTCAAAAGAAAGAAAAACAAGAAGAACAGGACCGGCTTGAGAAAATAATAGAAAATTTGGAAATTCGTTTGGAGGAGCGACGTCATAGAGAAAGACAATAAGAACAGGACCGTGTTCAGAAAATTTTAGAAAAATCTAGAAACAACGGTTGTTTCTATTCTAGGGGGTATATAAGGCCCGCGCTTTGACAGTTGGACAAGTTTAAAGTTTGAAGTTTGAAGTCTGAAGATAGTCTGAAGTTTGAAAATACCGCGAAATACCGTTAGAGTAATAGTAGTTGCATAAGTTGTGTTGTAAATAGTATAAGTTGTGTGTACAGAGTGAAACAAATAAATTCGTTAAGTATTTTATCGTGAGTTTAAATAGTGGACCCACGGAATCCGTAACAATAATATACAGAGTAATCTAATTAGATTCGTCAAAAAATTGTTGTTTAGTGCACAATTGGTGTGCAATTTTACATAATATATTGTTTGATCAATACCATTCATAGGCCCAGAATCCTTCTGCATTGTAGCAAAAGCAGTCACGAGAATAGCTACGGAATGTATACTCGGAAAAACATTTATTTTATTCTAGGTCCCTACTTACCGATAAAGTCTTTTGCCACAAAGTAGTTGCCCTAGGACTAGTAGTCCAATGCCCTGGGGGTAAATCAGTGAAACTACTACGACTCTGTGGTTGTTTCTCGGCAACATTAACAGCATTGAACCGAGGTACAAAAGACTGAGAATCTGCAGTGTTCAGATCAGGATTCAGAGAGTTCTTCACTTCTTCCGATACGGATTTGTCACCACCGGAAGCGACAATGAAGCCCCATGTTGGTGAGGGTGCAAAAGTTGAAGTGCTTGGTTTGATGTCCTGGTCGGAGAAATTCAGTATTTCTTCGTCAGCATTAGCTGAAAATAGAAACCGGAAAATGAGATCATCTTCAGAGAGTTTAAAATATTCTGCTATGTTTTGTAGCTACAGGGTGTTAAAGTATTAATAATCTTTCGATTTATTATAATTTCCTTCTAAGTACTTTAGTGATTCGAATTAAATTTTAAGTGTAAAAATTACTATAAGTGCTACATATTTTAATGCTAAAAGTGTCGATAAATTCATCAAGGACGTGTATATGGGTTATCACTGAAATATTTTTCAAAAAAAAACATGTGTTTTACCTAATTTATTATTAAATATTATTTCTATTAGTTGTTATTACTATTAATCCAACCTACAGAAATTTCAAATAAAAAAATAAATTTATTATTAAATTTATTTTTTAAACCTAATCTATTATTAAATATTATTTCTATTAGTTGTTATTACTATTAATCCAACCTACAGAAATTTCAAATAAAAAATAAATGCTATTTAAGATAATTTCAAAAAAAACTAATTTTAAAAGTTTTAACATCCTGTAACTCTAAAACTATTCATTTCCATACCCATGTTCATAGAAATTTTTTTTCATATTTTTTGATAAGGAATCAATGAGCACTTATTTAAAACTTTCGCAAGTTAATGATATTAAAATATTTTAAAGGTTGTTATTACACTTGGACCAAGGCAAATTAATAAAATTCCGTTTATCTCATCAAGCAGGCCAAAATCGACAAAATATCAAGAGACAACTTTGAATCGGCATTAAACAGCTTACACTATTTCGCTAACAAGAGAAAAAAAAGTCAGTGGCGTACATCCTGTTTTAGGATTTGTTTCTGAAGAATATTCCTCAGGTATAATCCATGATTTACGTCCCTGGTGAATATAGGTCGATTCTTTTATGCTTCGTAAATATGTCGCATTTATAGTAACTTTATAGATTGGTACCCCCAAGTGTTTAAGAAAATTATAATAAATCGAAAAAATATTAATATTTAACACCCTGTAGCTACGAAACAAAGCAGAATCGAACCTATGTTAATATAAAAAATAAGTCTTATTTTTACGTGAGGAATGTCCTCACGAGAGATGGCACATGTTTTTTGAAACACCCTGTATAAGAGAGTGGGGGTGTTCAAGGTAAATGTGATAGATATTTCTTTAGTAAAAACTGCAATCTCTTAAAATTATACACAAAATGACATTGAAAACTTACATATAGTATCTGGTATATCTGTACCTTCTAATGGGGGTGGTTCTGTAGGCCTAAAGCTTTCCAAAGTTTTTCTGAAATTCTCTGGATTGTTCAAATAACTGGACAATGCCAAAGAGAAATTACGTGCCAATTGACGTAACTCTGGCAAAGCGGTGGTTGACAGTAAGTCATTTTCATTGACTAGAAAAAAAAGAATATTAAAAAATACCTATATTATAGTGATGGAAAAAAACAGTTAATTTCAATAATCGAGTACTCGAGTTTCAAGCGATTGCAATAACCATCATTCTACAGCAACAATTTTCTGTGATTTTCCTAAGGCGTTCGATTGTGTAAATCATAAGATCCTAATTAATAAACTGCAGCACTATGGGTTCAGGGGATCATCTCTCGAATGGTTTAAGTCGTATCTGAGCAACAGAAGTCAACTTGTGAGGGTGGATACCACGTTGTCTTCTAGCAAGCCAATAGAATGTGGAGTACCACAAGGCTCAGTACTAGGCCCTATTTTGTTTCTTCTTGCTAATATAAACATCAGTGGCAAAATGTGTCTTTTTGCGGACGACACTAGCTTTACTTGGAGCAACAAGGACATCACGGCACTTCATAGGTTTATATCAAATGACTTAATCACCATTAAATCTTGATGCGATTCGAACCTCCTGAGTCTCAACATTTCTAAAACTAAAGCTTTGTCGTATAAAAACTCGCTGCAGCCTTTTGTACTTAACAACGCCACCATTGACGTCGTAAAATCTGTAAAATTCTTAGGGCTTGTTGTGGACAATTCTCTAAGATGGGACATACATATCGAAGCTTTGTTGAAAAAATTGAGCTCTGCCTGTTTTGCATTAAGGTCTGTTTCTAAGGAGCTTAACTTGTCAGTGGCTAGAACTGTTTATTATGCACTTTTTGAGTCGCACCTCAGGTATGCCCTTCCATTCTGGGGTACGTGTTGTGCGACTCAATTTGACCGCATTTTCAAGCTCCAGAAGAGAGCTGTTCGATATTCACTGGGACTAAACAGCAGAACTCATTGCCGGGACTCCTTTTAAAGAATTAAAAATATTGACTCTTCCTTTCTTATTTATATTTGAATCCGTTTGCCTAATACGTAAACATGTATCAGCTTCTCAAGAAAGGCCATCTCACACTTATCCACTCAGGAACACGGAGCAAGATCTCTATCTACCTACCCCACGCTCAGAGTTAGTTAAAAGTTCAATATTATACAACTCGAAAAAAATGCACAATCACCTGCCATTTGAAATCAAATCCATAACATCATTTTTTTTCATTTCGCAGAGCTTTGAACTCTTATTTACTAGTCAAGGCTTTCTACGCCGTAAATGAATTATATTTTGAAAGTCAAATTTGATCTTGTAAACACTGGTCTAATGTTTGCTATTGCTATATTTACTAATGACATCGAAATGAATTTATTTAGAGGTCATTGATATTTTACTATAAACTAGCTAAATATTTTTGAATATTATTTTTATTTTTTTGTTCTTTGACATCGTAAACATTTATAAATGTTTATTTTAACAATAAGACTTGTATTGTATTATCTTTTGTTTGTTTGTTTGTGTACCTTGTTTTTTACTTTGTTTGTTAGTTTACCTTTGTCTGCAAATTGAAAAAATTTTTGACAATAAAGGCATTTATTTATTTATAACCGAGCGATCGCTCGAGCGAAATGTCGCTCGTATTTAAAAATACAGTTTTTCGTCCGTCGCTTGTTGTAAGTACTTGTTAACGCCAAGCGCCAAGCAGTAAGTTGCGTGCGCAGGGCACATATTCTTTCGATAATGAATGGCAAGTAGCAAGCGTCGAGCGATTCGCTTGATCGCTTGATCGCTTGATTTAGTTTATTTCAAAGCATTGTCGATGTAGGTCGTAAAATTTTGTCCCTCAGATACGCAACGAATAAATATACAGGGTGATTTTTAACCTATACTCATAAAGTTGGGCAATTATTGCTGATGACAAATAATGACTCATAATGAAAAAAAAGTTAGTAAAATATTTTTATTTACGGAGATAACAAACTATTTGAAATTAAAACAAAAAACGTATATTCCCTTAAATTGAATGTGCATTAGTGATAAAGTTGATAAATTTTTGTGAAAAAAAAAACTCAAATTATTTCAGAATCTAAAAATATTTTACTAGCTTTTTGTTCATTATTAGTCGTTATTTGTCGTCAGCAATAATTTCTCAAGTTTATGCGTATAGGTTAAAAATTATCCTGTATATACGGCGTCATATAAATTTGCTACCTGCAATGTGTGTAGAAAATTCGCTCTGCTTTTTATCGAGTATGTCACATTAAAATCGGATTTCAATGTATTTCATTCTAGGATCGCTTGCGTTCTTCGCTCGCAACTCGATCGTCACTTGCATTGATTGATGTCGATTATTTTAATAATCGAGTACTCGAGCGAATTTTCGCTCGAGTTATCCCATTACTACTATATTATAGGAAAATAAAACGAATATTACCATTAGTAGGCTCAGTTACTTGTGCAGTATTTGTTTGAATATTATCATTTCCAATTCTTGAATCTGTTAGGATTGTAGTAGAAGCACTTGATGTTGTCGGAGATGTAGTTGTAGAAGTAGATTCAGAATTAAATAAGTTGTTATACCTAGGGCAAACAATAGATAATATTAAACTAAATTAACTAAATCTCTCCACTTACCCATGAACTGTCATAGCTGTCAACAACCCTGTCAGTCTCTCCTTGGCATCCCCTTCCAATTCAGCTTCGTTTTCACCAACTTCATTAGCAAAGTACTGTGCGAGAGAATGAAGAGTTTGCGGTCCAACGCTTGGGGGAATCACCAAGCCACTTCTGGATGGTACTTCGTTGTTTTGGGCAGTGTTGTAAGAAGCAATTTCCTGAAGGACTCCGATCATGTTGTCTAAGTTATCGTAGACGTTTCCTGAAGTTGGTGGTGATCCGGTTGTGGTGTATGGAGTAGGGTCTGTGGGTCCTTGTTGGGTACCAAAAGGTCTTGGACTTGAGATTTCATACGATGGAAATACAGGTTTTGTTTTCTGGTTTTGGTTTAGATTAACTGTAAAAAAATATATATTGTAAACAGAGTTTCACCACAGGTTTCACGAATATACAAAAAGCATAAATGAGGATGTGATTGTTGTTTTTAAATAAAGATTATTAAATAATCTTTATTTAAAAACAACAATCACATCCTCATTTACCTATATTTTTGTAATAAATTTTATTATTTTTCATATAAAATTTCTTACAAAAATATTTGCTTATACCGGGGAACTAAAATTATCTGCATTAGTTTGTGCAGTTGCACAAATGTTGCACAAACACGCACATCAAACGAAGAATATAGTGTTACATGACATATTTAGTTACTCTGAATAAAATTCTTAAGTACTTGATTATTTTACCACTTGTAACAAAACTAGGTAGGTACTTATTAGCAAAAAGTTGATCAACTAAAGTTTGTTTTTGTCGATGGTAAGCTAAATAATGTACCAATTTTTAAAGTCTTTTTTTAAGATTCTAACTATAATTCAAAACAATCAATTGTTCTAAACCAAATTGTTCGAAAACAGAGAGTTTATCCAGATTTATACACTTTGTATAAAACCAGTTTTAAAATAAAGAAGCAATAATCCAAAATAGACACAGAAAATTGTAACAAACTTTCGAAAATATTATAATTTGTAGATAGAAACTCAAAAAACCGATAAAAGAAAGTTTTAAAATGCCTTCTATGACGTTCCCCATTTTCTGTCTTTATTGTATTCAATGTGGTATACAGGGTGGTCCAAACTGTAGATAAAAATAAGTAAAATAGTTCATATAAATGTATGTCCTAAAATGCTTTGTTTCGGAGATACAGGGTGTAGAAGTTTTATTTTTATTTCAATTTTTTCCAAATAATTTCTGAAATAACGTCAATATTTGGATGAAAATTAGTGTCGGGGAGTTTTTTGATTTGACTTTGATGTGAATATGACTCCTATTTGTAGGGGGCGCCACCAACATGTGTTTTAACTGTTTGCACTTGCCACGAGCAACCGTTCAAAAATAAACATGTTGATTAGACAGTTCCACAGTTTCTGTGGAACTTTTAGTACAAAATCATTACACATTTATGATTTCAATCCAATAACTATTTAGTCAACATGTTTAATGTTGTGTCAATGATGACAGCACCAGGTATTGATAATTTCGATTCCAAATATCTCGAGAACCATTACTCGTGACGATTTTAAAAACGTCGTAAATAAATAATTTTATATATTATAAATATTTTAAGATATACTTTTTTGCTCGGTAGTTTTATACAGGTACGGACAAAAAGTTATTACTCTTCAAACCAGTTAAAATATGTAGGTGGCGTCCTTTGCAAGTAGGAGTCCTACTGACATCAATATCAAATTTCTCATGTCAAAAAACTCCCAGACACCAATTTTCATCAAATATAGACGTTACTTCAGAAATTATTAGGATAAAATCTCGAAATAAAAGTGAAACTTCTACACCCTGTATCTCCGAAACTAAGCAATTTAGGACATACATTGATACGAACTTTTATACTTTTTTTATCTGCAGAATATGCTGCCAAAGTTTCCGGAATACAGTTCGGACAACCCTGTATAATAATTAATCATTTAGTAGGTACTTACTTTTATTTATATCTTGGACAAAATCATTACTCTTCTCAAACGCCTTTGCCCTCTGAATAGGAGAATTAAAACCACTATTATAATCCCTAGTAAGAAAGAACCCATTCTGTTGAGTACTACTAGCTGGAGTAGTACTACTACCATCTCCTCTAACCCTCACTTGAGTATTAAATCTCACATACTCATCACCACTAGTTTTAATCGGCTGTCTCTCACCAAAAATATTCTTTGACAACTGCACTGACACCTTATCCTGTCCTTTCTCAAACCTTATAGGTATTCCGTGGTTGGTACTAGGATAAAAAGAATTACTTGGTGTTACAGTTGGTACTGTAGGACTGTAAGGCGTGTTGGTAGAGACGAAAGTACCATATACAGTAGCTTGATTTGATGGTGCTTCAGTTGAGTTAGATTGGTAGAGTAGTGGTACCGTTTTCTTGATAAAAGGTGGTTCATACACAGGTTCACGTGGTCCAGTATTAAAAGATCCTTGTTCAGGTACTGGTAAATCCAAAGGTTTATAAGTTGTAGTGTGATAATTAAGGGGTACATTCGTTGAAAGGGTACTATCGGTGTTTCCGAGATTAAAAGGTTCTGTTGGAATAGGATTTGTTAACGCTGTAGTAGTGTAAATGGGAGGAAGGGTTTTATCGGTACTGCCAAGGTTGAACAAGTCCTTGTTATCGTTTTTGGGTAAATAAGTGTACTTTGACTGAGTTGTAGGTTGGTTTGGTAGTAAAGTTGTCCCAATTCTACTACCTACGAAAGGTTTACCGCTGTTAATCGGCTGGGTAGTAACTAGATGCGGTGTAATAGAGGATATAGCTGAAACCTTAGGTGCTTCAAGAAAACTAAGGTCTTTTACATCAGAGTATGTACTTCGATGATTGGATATACCAGAAGATGTTTTATAGGTACCATCTCTGATGCTGTTAAACGAATTTTTAACGAAAGATGAAGATTCTTCAGGGACTTGTGTCTCAAGTTCCTGACTGTTGTTTGATTCAGTTTCAAAATTCTTTCTTTGTGCGGTTTCGTCATTTATTATTTTTACAGGTATTTGATTTTGGAAAGAATTATATGAAGCTTGATTCACACTCCTGGGTGTAGATACTACTGATCGATGTGTTGAAGGAGGAACTTCGTAATTTGGAGCCTTAGAAGAACCATAATTTTGTTGATATTGGGGTTTGTAGGTAGATGAAGATGCTGTATGATAAGTAGAGACAATATTTGGGTTTGACGACTCTGTGGAAGTAGGAGAAAGATAGTTGTTATTGGAAGTTTCAAGATTTCTTGAATATGAAGAATCAGCAGGACTTCTGGTAGAAGAATAATGATTTATGTTATTTGGTACACCAGAATTTACATTTGAATTGAAATTATTTTTTCCGAAGTTTGTATTTTGTTGTGTTTTAGGCTTATTATTATTTGATCCATCTTCTAATGTATCTTCACTAGTACTAAAATAATTATGGTTATAAATCTTAGTTCTTTGGGTGCTAAAAGAATTTCTTTCTTCCGTAACTCTTTCTTCTTTGTTTTTCGTTGTGTACTTAGTACTTCCTCTGAAAGATGTACCAGAATTACCAATTTTTTCACCAAAACTAAAATCATTTTTTGAATTAACATCTATTTTCTTAATCTGTCTATTCTGTTCCGTGTCATAATTGTTGTTAGTTCCAAAATTCCCAGTTTCTTGTTCAATATCTTTTTTGGTTTGTTTGGATTTAGAAGTTCTTTCAGATTGGTAAATTTGATTTAAGTTTCTTTGGGCATTTGCTAGGTGCCTGTTATTTGATTCTGCTTGTTCAATGTGTTGTTCTATGTCGTTATTGTTAGGTATTCTGTTGGTATTCTTCGTTTGACTTGGTCGGTTGTATCTGCTTCTGGTTGAGACACGTTCTTCAGTTCTCATAACAGCTCCATGGTTAAATTCAACTGAAAATAAAATTAGAATTAAAATTAAATTCCTAATAAATTAGGAATTTAAAATCCTAAATTTATCCATCATTGTCTTACACGCTGAAATGTTGACCACTAATTTAGAATGACCAGACCTGTACATAATTTCTGGAAAATATGATATTTTGTATTTTTTATAACTTACCATTTAAAGAATCGTTTTTTCTTGAAGCTTTCCTTCTAGCAATGTCATTCTGAAGCTTTTCAGCACTTTCCTCATAGAGATTAGGTGAGTTGGTACAATTTACTTTGTTCCACCATTCACATATAAGCTCTTTTTGTTGGAATATGGTACCATTGGGACATAAGAACGAGATTTTTCTTCCATCTTCGCATATGTGAAATACCTTGAAGATTTTTTTTTTATTTTTGGAAATTATTTTAAAAGTCATGTTATATTATACCTGACATTCAGTCTCTAGATCAGCATAATATCCAGATTTGATGCCTCTACAGCTAAAAGATGTCCTAGGAATGTAGGAATAAGCAGGGTAGTCCCTTTTTGGTTTACCTTCAATACCTTGGAGGTATTGAAAGTAGTCATTGTTGGCATTTTGTATTTTTCTGTTTTGCTCTAGGTTGTCGTCGGCTTTCAAACCGTAGACTAGCTAAAATATCATGTAAATATCGTTAATACATTTTCTGTGTCATTATTCACAGCACAAAATATTTATTTCACTACTTGGAATTAGAGGAAACTAAATTTTGGATTGTTATCAATAGATATAATGTATTATATTATTAATAGCATACAAAATATTGGATATCGAACATAAAATTGTCGATACACTAGAAAATCGATAGTATAATACATCTCTAATTGGTATTTTTTTTTAATTTGCAAAATAACACTTAACGTATTGTTTAAGAGACAGAATTAAATATAAATATTCTTACCATTGGTCTAAAACAATAAGCTGCATAAAAGAGAATGGCCAGGCCTGAAAAAAAACAGATTTCTTTAATAATTAAGACTTAATTACATCACTTAAAACTAGCTGAAAATATTTAAAATTGTTCCTTATATAATTTCCTACGTTAGCAATATGTCTTCAAGCACCTGTATAAAGAAATTAAATCATAAAATTTTATTTATATTGTAAAAATATGTTAAATATGTAAAGTAGGTTGTTTCAATTAATTGGATATAATTTAGTATTTAATTGATATGCGTTTTATAAACGTTTGATGAAATTATATTAAATATTTAATTATGTTCATTGGTTATAAGCCCTGGCAAATAAAGAAGTCATATACAGAGTGTTTCCAAAACAGGATTCCTTAGAATGTTGCTTTTTTTCATTGCTAAGTTCACATAAACCAGTAATTCACTATTTTATACAAAAGATGCTAAGTGACAATAAGTATGCTACTAGAACACCAAGGTTTAAAATACAAAAAAAAATAGAAAAATTATATAGAATTCATTAAATGCATTTTTTAAAAAGCTGCTGTTTTCTATTTCCTTTAGAATTGCTCAATTTTTTTCGTTATTTTTAAATTAAACTCAATATACCGGGTGCGTCTCAAAACGGGCTCACCCCCTATAACTTTTTTATATTTTCAGTTAAAAAAACGAGATTTGGTATGTTAGTATATGACATAAATTAGGATTGATTGACTTAATCAATTATTTTCGGTCACTTTCTGTTTCACCGGAAAGGACTACAATTTTTGATTTTTAAATGACACCCTCCATTTGTTTTACTTCATTTGATAGAAAATGGCATTCTGAATAGAATGACCTCGAGAATGACATAGCATGTATTCCATGTTCTATGTCAACGTTTAATAGTTTCAATTAAAAAAAATAGCATTTTAAAATTTAATTTAGAGTACATGTCCATAAATGTAACGGTATCTTTTTACTTTATTCAATAGAAAATAACACTCTGAATAGAATGACTATCGTATGTCAACTTTTGACATTTTTGCATATGGTTTATTTGAAATTATAACATGCGGTTTATAACGAAAGTTTGACTCAAATGCCAAGAGTGTGGTATCAAATTATTCGTAAAAAAATGCTTTTTCCAAATATGCTAATGAGCCACCCTCGTCCATTTGAAAAAATTAAGATATGATTAAAAATGCAATTTGAGCATCTTTTAACCGACAAGGATAAGACACTAAAAACATTAGACGATCAAATCTATTTTTCCACGGCTTCTTGATTAAAAATTAGTGTTTTTAACATAGCCATGGCACTCTAGATCGAAATTTAAAATACGGTTTTTTATTAAGCGAAAATGTCAAAAGGATATGATATGTCATTTTATTCAGAATGTTATATTCATTTTCTATCGAATAAAATAGAAAAATACCGAGGGTGGCATTTAAAAATCAAAAGTTGTAGTCATTTCCGGTGAGACAGGAAGTGACCAAAAACAATTGAATACGATAATGAATCCTAATTTATGTCATCTATTAACATACCAAATCTTGTTTTTCTATCTGAAAAAATAAAAAAGTTATAGTAATGAGCCACTTTTGAGACGCACCCGGTATATCTATAAATCAAAAAACTAATAAATGCCCCTATATCTAAACCTTCTAGTTTCTTCAGTAGATCCATTTAATAGTTATTTTTTATACAAGACGATAAAATGCTTAAGACGATAAATAGTTATTTTTTATACAAGACGATAAATGGTATTTTATCGTCGACCGACAAGATTAATTCACGAGCGATGAAATCGCAAGAGAATTAATTTCGGGAGGCGATAATGCAATTTTATCGTCGTGTATAAAACAATATTTTTTTCCATACCGAGTTACGTTTTAAAAAATATTCAGAAATTATTATTTCAAGAAATTTATTATGAGTAGAAAAAATATTGTGCTGGGTTGGCGTTGGTTTCTATGTAATTTGACAAATAAATAAAGCTGTCTCTTTAGTTGTCAGTTTTGAGTCAATATTTTTTAATTCTCTTTTTTGTCGATTGCTGATTGAACTGGAGCCAGAAATGGCTCAAAACGAAATAAGTAAATTACCAACAGATATTCAGGCTGAGGCGACAAACGCCATATCCAAACTACTTCCATTTAAATCCCGAATAACTTATGAAAATGACTACAAAAATTTTCAAAAATGGAATCAATTAAAAAACCTGCGAGAAGAAAATTTTTAACCTATCCTCTCTGTTAAAGTATCATTTAATCTACCCTTGAGGTTAAAGTACTATTTTATCTACTATTTTTGATAGATATAAGGCAATTTTAACAGGTCCTATGGAAAAAAAGATAATAAATCTATTATTATGATTCCATTGCAAGAATTTCGTTACCGTGATAGTTTCAGAAATTTGGTCTATCCAATCCAAAACATAGAATATAGAAAAGTCTCGCAGCACAATTCTTCTTAAAGTTTTAATAAGCTGAACATGATTTTACGAATTCAAGATCATGTTTTTGTCAATTTTTTTTCATAAACATCTAACCGACCGTCACTTTAAATCACCCTGTATACAGTGATGTTAAAATTCACTACCACCCAACGAACGGTAATTTATTGATATATAAAAAAGCCTATATATTTTATTATTTCTCTGCCGATTTTCCAAATGAAATCATTTGAAATCTTTAATTTTCCTTGGAAATCATAATTTAAGAAATTGCTGACTCTCTAGATATAAACAGTAGGTAGATAATCATCCACTGTTAATAATATATTACAATAGATACGAGGTTACAGTAACAAATGCTTATTAAAAGATATCATGCATAATTGAATCCTGGTAAAACACAGTGGAAATCATCGAGGAACGAAGGAAACATTATTCGGAAGATGAAAGAAAAACGGATAAAGCAAATAAAGATACGCCCATTAGTCTGTTCTATCATTGACCGATTTTTAACGGTGATTATCACTTAATCGCCGAGTCATTTAACCAGCCTTGACTCTGTTTTATTTGATGATTTTCGCGAAAAACTATTCGTTTGCTTCTTCTTCTTCGTTGTTTGTTTGTGTCATAACCTTTACAAAGTGAAAGAAAACCTTTGAATAAAAGGATTAAGGAAGGAGTATAATGATATCCATGTATTATTCTTGTATTCGAGACGGAATTGATATCAAGAACTTCTTATTTTTTGACAGTCCTGTTTGACGTTTTAATTGACACATTTGAATTTGATTTGACATACATATTGCGATTTTGTTCAAATTGGTATGTAACGTCTATTTCTTGCCGCTAAGGCATCACGACGCATGACGTGTTATCAGGTTTATTATACAGGGTGGGTCCGAACTGTATTCCGAACACTTAGGCAGCATATTCTGCAGATAAAAATAAGTAAAAGAGTTCGTATAAATGTATGTCTTAAAATGTTCAGTTTCGGAGATACAGGGTGTAGAAGTTTCATTTTTATTTCGATTTTTCCAAATCATTTCTGAAGTAACGTTAATATTTAGATTAAAATTGGTGTCTGGGAGCTTTTTGACATGAGAAATTTGATTTTGATGTCAATATGACTCCTATTTGTAGGGGGCGCCACCTACATATGTTTTCATTGATTTTAAGAGTAATAACTTTTCGTCTGTACCTATATAATAGAACTGGGGGAAAAATATACAATTCAGTGATTTTTTACTTAAAAAATATCTCTTGGTGAAAATCGCTACAAGCAACCGTTTTCAAGATATTTAGAATGGAAATAGCCAATACATGTCATTATTGACAAAAAATAAACAATGTCGAGTACAGATAGTTATCTGAATGAAATGATAAATTTGGGAACTTTTTATTTTTTTAAATTAATCAATTTGAAAAAATGATGATAAAAAAGATTCTGTTGAATTTTGGCACAAAAACATTTGAAATGTATGATTTCAGTCTATATAATAACTATTTAGTCAACACGTTTAATTTATGTCAATGACGACAGGTATTGATAATTTTAATTCCAAATATCTCGAGAACCATTACTCGTAGCAATTTTTACCAAGAGATTTTTTACGCTAAAAACGTCGTAAATGTATAAATTTTTACTCAGTAGTTTTATACAGGTACGGACAAAAAGTTATTACTCTTCAAACCAGTTAAAACACCTGTAAGTGGCGCCTCCTACAAATAGGAATCATATTGACATCAAAATCAAATTTCTCATGTCAAAAAACTCCCAGACACCTATTTTCATGCAAATATTGACGTTACTTTAGAAATTATTTGGAAAAAATGAAAATGAAAATAAAATTTGTACACCCTCTATCTCCGAAAGCATTTTAGGACATACATTTATACGAACTTTTTTACTTATTTTTATCTGCAGAATATGCTGACGAAGATACCGGAATACAGTTCGGACCAACCTGTATATTATAACCTGGTAACACTATCTTGTAGAACAAAAAAGGAGGAATGACAATGTGACATTTATTTTGCTAGATTTATTTATATATCTGGTGCGTCTTAAAAGGGGCTCACTCCTGTAACTTTGTTTATTTTTGTCAGATAAAAAAACGATATTTGGTATGTTATGTGTTGGTATGTATATGACATAAATTGGGATTGATTTACGTATTAGTTGTTATTGACATCCAGTAGAGTCATAAAAAATAAAAATAAAATTGCAAATATTCGTTTTTTTCCCAAAAATCTTCGGAAGTATTACAATTTTTTAAACTTTTAAGGTGGCATTTTGATCAGCTACAAATTGTACAATTTTGCCCCTTCATGTAACCCACCTCGTATCTCTTTTATTTTCTGAGGTTCAAATAATATAATAAGTTATATCAGTAAAAATATAAAAAACTCTAACCAAACCAAACCAAAAACAAAGAAATCATTAATTACGAACAATAAGAAGACCTAGAAGATACCGATCTTTCAGAAGACCTTAAACGACTGTGTGTACCATCCTTCGCTCAAAAAAAAAGGAATAATACACCAGCCAGCTGTTTCGTCATCCTGAAGAAATAAATCAGATTGAATCGGTTTCTACA